TTTTTCGCTCCTGGGCTTTAACCAGTCTAGCCAATAAACCATTTCTTTGAATGTACTTGCCAATCTACTGTAATTAGCACATATTAAAAGTGTAGGCTAGATAAGGCACATAGATGGTATCTTTTTATGAGCAGTGGAGTTTTAAAACCAAGGGTAATTGGTAGCAGAATACTCTCTGCCTTTCCTGCCCCAGTGGTTTTGAATATCCTGCAGACTGTAACAAAAAACTTTTAAGTTTTAGTCCCAACAAGGCCTACGAAGGTTAGGCCAGACACGGGCAGGTTGTGCTGCCTTATCCTCGCTTGGAGATTTGATTCTGTACATTTGTTTTTCCATTCCATAAGGTACAAGTGGAGCACATGATGAAACACATGACTTTCTAACTTGTCCATGTCAAGCGTTGCTGCCGACTACAGCCAGTCTGTCAAAGATGTTTAAAAGTACGTAGTTTATTTAGCTTATCAGCAATTGCACAGCAATTGAACCTTTTTAAGCTCCTTGTACATGGAGCTCTTAAACCAATTGACTTGTTAGTTGATGAAACTTAGATCGTTCAAAAATGTATTCATAATGGCCGCAATAAAGCTGAAACTTATTCCCATAAGTATTCAGAATCAATTTGTTTTCACTGTCTGTTTGCTTAATTTTTAGCATCACTGTCTGTCTTCTGTCATTGGCTTGGAGTGGTTGTTTTCATATTTTTATAACATTGCAAAGAATGCAATCAAGCTTATTCATCCTTTTTCTAGAACCAATTTCCCAACATGCCACTATAGAGAGAATTCCTGGTTGTATGTTTATCAGATACCTTTTACTTTACTGTTTCCTGGAAAAAAATAATCAAATTCTACTATTGGGAGATGCTGTCCTAGGCAAGAATGAAACTCTTGAGGGAAGGACAAGGATATATATGGGCAATGAAGTAAGCAACTTACTGGTGAAAGGACTTGCCTATTGCATTTCTTACGTAGTGTAACAAGGAGACTAATTCATTGGTACTGAATATTAATTACATACAAAGTAGTTGTTCCATATATACACAAAAAGCTGTTCAGCATAAAAAAGCAACATTTGAGAGTATATAATTATACGCAACATAATATATTATGCATATGAGCAGAGATTTTGCAGAATTACTTATTCAAAAAATTTCGCATGTGATTCATGGGAGACGTTTTAGCTTACATATTAGTCAGCAACCGTCCTCCGTGTCGGCTGGTTTGATAAATAATCATTTGTAATTCACTTTTCCTATAAATCGCACAATACAGCTTTCCAAAATTACTATATGAACCCATGAATATTTTCACAGGATTCAAGCAGTGAGAAATACTGTTTTGAAAATGCATATTCAGACTGTCCACAGAAATTTCATCTCACCCACATATCGGGGATTTAAGCATGCCTTGACCAGAAGCAGAAGCTTCCCTTATGCAAGCAGCGGACGTGAAGTGACGCTCCTTGGTGAGGCACATCCTTCCTTTTGGGTCCTTGGCCCAGATCCACTGTGCCTCCTTAGGGAGTGTGATGAGGGGAGTTCTGCAGTGCAGGGATGATGGGACGTGGGGCACCTTCCGGGGCTGCTCAACAGCTCTGGGGGAAGCAGGAAGGTGGCAATGTGTTTGCTGGCAGCAGGAGGTGTCATGCCGAAGCCATGAAGGAGGAACACAAGTGAGATGTGAGTTAATGAAAACTGAAGCAGTGCTCAGTGGGCCCGTTATTTTACATAAATTAATTAATTCTGCCTTAGAAATACAAACATATTTAAACCAATACAGGAAAATGCTGAAGAACTTAGGTTCTTTATATATCCTGAGGACCTAAATTTATATTTAGGCAAATGCTTCAGTAATCAGTAATGTTTCAGTCTCAGGAAAACCCATGATACTTGAGGTATAAAGGTGTTCAGCTAGTCATATTATAGATCATAGAACAGAATCATAGAATTGTTAAGGTTGGAAAGGACCTCTAGAGGTCATCTAGTCCAATCCCCCTGCACACGCAGGGTCACTTAGAGCATGTGGCACAGGACTGCATCCAAGTGGGTTTTGAAGATCTCCAGAGAAGGAGACTCCACAACCTCTCTGGGCAGCCTGTTCCAGTGCTCTGTCACCCTCACTGTTAAGAAATTTTTCCTTAAGTTCCTGTGGAACTTTTGATGCTTCAGTTTGTGGCCATTACCTCTTGTTCTGTCAGTGGCCACCACTGAAAAGATGCTGGCTCCATCCTCTTCACTGCCTCCCTTGAGATATTTATAGACACTAATAGGTCCCCTCTCAGCCTTCTCTTCCCCAGGCTGAACAGGCCCAGCTCCCTCAGCCTTTCCTCATAGGGCAGATGTTCCAGGCCCCTGATCATCCTTGTAGCCCTGCACTGGACTCTCTCCAGCAGCTCCACATCCCTCTTGTACTGTGGAGCCCAGAACTGGACACAATGCTCCAGGTGTGGCCTCACCAGGGCTGAGTAGAGGGGCAGGATCACCTCTCTTGACCTGTTGGAGACACTCGTCTTAATGCACCCCAAAACCCCATTGGCCTTCTTGGCCACAAGGATGCCAATGACTTCAATAAGAGGCCAATTTTCTGCCATGACTTCATCTGTGGTTTCTGCATTGCTAGTACAAGATTTTTACTGGTATTCACGACAACTATTTAATTTGTGTTTTATTAATTTCTCTACTCCTTGCACCCATGGCAAATGCACGGATTAACAGCAACATGTACAGTTTCAAACATTAGGATTTTAATAGGATAATGAGTCAAGTCAGTCTGAAGTGGAGTAAAAACAAGAATGCCTTTTCAGCTCAAATCTAGTGGAAGCCAGATTCCTTGCTAACGGCTTCTATATCCAAAAGGTTTTTGATTTTTTTTTTGTGATTTAGTCTTGATGAGGAAAAATACCTGTGATTGTTAAAACATCATTTTCATTCAATAGTAATATATTTTGCAGAGAAAAAAAAAAAGAAAAAAAAAAGGATGATGAGATTTATTAAGCACTATTGAGAGATGCATAATATTCTGTCAGGCGTACCACTGTCCTAACCATGTGTGATGCATGATTCAGATTTTAAAAATGGGCTATCTCGCCACTAACTGTAGTGGGAGCTTTGGCGGATGATATCCTGAGTCTTTTCCTAGGCCACCCTTTTGTGTAGAACCAAACGGATGAAAGGTTTAATCCTCTCCGCAAAGTAACAGTCCCAAACAGGGCAGCAGTCATCCTTTCCACATAGTAAAACATCAAAGCTATGTAGTTAAAAATGTGCGGAAAATCTTGCTGTCATGAACTGAATGTCCAAAAAGGAGACAGAGGAGTCCTAAAACTTTATTCAAATAAAGGGAGAGTCCACCGGGCATATCCCTGTCGGGTCTCTCAAATTGCTGGGGGACGCATCCTCCCTTTTATCCTAATTTCCCGACCGAGGGACGCCCTCTCCTTTTCCCCATTGGCCAAGGTACTCAGAAGTTACAGCCTTCCCGGCCTGGCTACACCGAACTCCAGCCTCCCGCCATCTGTTCTCCCCTGAGCTCATCAACTCCTTTGTCCCCCTTGCTGAAGAATGTGGGGGAATTGCCCTATTTCCCTCCTTTGTAAAGGCCCCCATCTCGTTGCAGATGGCTCTTTTTGTCCCACTCGGCTCATGGCTCCACTCAGTCTCCCCTCCCTTTGTCCTGCTCTTCAGCCAAACTGTGGAGAAACCCCCTTATTGATGAATACAGAAACTTGAGCATTCCGCTCAAAAATATGCACTTATTTTCTGACTGTTCTCTTTTCACTAAACTAAGAGTAAGCACACAAAATGAAACTAACAGTGACAAATAGTCACCCAAATCTAGGAAAAAAATGAAGATGTCTTATATACTGTTGGTGTTTTTGGGTTTTTTTGTTTGTTTGTTTTGCTGTTACTTGCATTCGTTTTTACTCCAGCAAAGGAGAAACAAGTGCAGAATATATGCTGAAGAATAAAGCACCCTGAAGGCATTTATATAAACCCATCCCCTTACTGTTCATCGCACTGAGAAGCAAGTGGAAAGATGAGATCCTCCGTGCATGCAAAACAAGAGGCAGAAACATAATCTAATCTTTTCTCGCAAGCAGACAAATCTCTTGCACCACCTTGCTCTTGTGCTGGAATAAATCTGCTAGTGAAGCATATGCCCAGACAGCTTGGTGAGATGATTCTTAGTTAGAAAGCCCTTAAGAAGCCACTCTCCAGGTGGAGGAAGAAAAGACAAGACAGGATGGGAAATGCTGTTCACCAGTTCAAGGTTCTGTTTTGGAAGAATTGGCTCTGCCGTGTGAGGCAACCGGTGAGTTTTAGGAAATTATAAAGCAAACCATATATGTGTGTGTGTATATATATATATATATGTTAATTTGTTGGAAAGAATGTATCTCTATTTCTTGATTTTCCTTTTTCACTACTGACTACTAAAAATCAGCTGGCTGCCAAAGCTCTGGTTTTGCCTTTAGGCTTCTAATTGTCTGAAATAGAATGGTGAGTTTTAGCTCTAAAATGGCTGAATATAGCAATGCTCCCCTATTTGTAAATGAGACAGGAAACCACATAAAAGTTTCTGAAGAGTCTCAGCTTCCCTGTTAATTACCATTAGACACTACTGGTGCTTGTAGCAATGGTGAGGATGCAAATGAATTTCCCTCATGTTTTGGGTCTTGCTGGTGATGTAATAAAGCTTGTATAATCGAGATCAAAATCTAGATATGGTGAATGCCATTATGATATCTTAAATTTATATATACTTTTAGATTTCCTTTCTTATCTACTGTACGAAGCTTTTTTTATCCTTTTAAACTGCAATATGCAGACAAAACGGGTGGCTGCTTTAAAATAATACGAGATGAAATTTCCTGGTTTAACTGTGATGGACATGTGATTTATTTTTTAAGATGGAAGGAAGGGAATTCTCTCAAGTGAGCTAACATTTTTTGTGCAAAACAGATATGTTAATGTCACTACAATTAACTGTTTGTCATTGATTTCCCTCATCTGTGATGTTCCAGAGATTTGCAAAGAGGAATGCTGGCTGCTTCAGATAAGATTACCTCAATTACATAAATCTTTAGCTCTTCCTATCAGAAATATTTCACTTAAACATATCAAAAACTTATGATTTAGAGAATTATTTATTTAGATAATCTTAAGGGTTTGGTTTTTTATATAATACTTATTTAAGGAAGGACATGGTTGGTTATTTTTTGGTGTGGTCTGTGGAAGTACTTTGCCATTGTGAGAAAGCCTGCAGCATTAGATCATATCACATGCAGTGAGGGGTGAAGGGGCCATACTACAACACTGTAGCTGTTCTGCATACAGGAAGTGTTTTGACTCAAATACAGGCACCAGTTTATTAACACGAACAAAGGCAGAGTATGTAATAGCTAAGTTTGGACATCAGTCAGAGTTTGAGATTGCAGTTGTGTAGAATGTACCTTCACACTTGCTAGTTTTCAGAAGTTTGAGCTTTCTGAACTAGGGATTCTGTGAGGTCAGGAGATACATACTACCAGAAACCATATTGTTTAAATTTATTATCACTGCATTTCCTAGTTATATTTTAATTTAAGAGAAATATTTTCCTGTTGAGATTAGTGATTTTTTATGTAGTTTTTACTAACCAAGTTTGCTGCTGGGACAACACTAAAGCTAAACAGAAGATAAAATGTAAATCCTAAATGCTTTTGCTCTAATACATGCTTTCTCCTTATATATGTTAGAGGAGAAAAGGGACACCAGAATAGCAGTCTCTCACTCTGGTTCCCATCAGTGCCTGGGCAAAGTGGTGGCTCAAGGGACTCTGTTCTTTAGGATTCCCTTTCTTTGAACCTATTCTTGTTGCGGTCTGTCTTGTTTGAACACAAGTTTCCCTTGTATAACACATTACTCCCTACCTCTACTGGGAATAGCTTGCTAAATATGGTCACTAATGGTTCATTGTGTCCTCCCGATGATTTTCACTTCAACCCGACCTATTGTTGTTGCCTCTGCAGCCCCCTTCTCAGTACTTGTATTTACCCCAATTTCTCCATATCACATACTCTGCTAGAAGTCAGCTGCTTTTCTTCCCCGCCCCCCCTCCGCCCCCCCATCTAGAAATCACTATCTCACCAGAAGACCATTTAAGGCATTTTTCAGTGCTTGGGGACAAATTATTTCGGAGTCCCTCATATCCAAGCACTTGCTGTATGGTTGTTGCTGTTGATGTTCAGGCAGTTCTTGAGATGGCAGTAAGGCCAGCTGGAGCCTGCTAAGGCAATGTGGTCAAAGGAATTGCTGTTTAATATTCCTACAATCTTTGCAATTACTATTATTGCCACCTATGCTTGGTACTATACCAAAGAAAGGCATAAACATTTTAGACCAGAAAATCTACCTTTGATAAGTCCTTGATGCCTACTGAAATACCAGAGATAAACTGAAAATGGAAAAAAATATTTTTGTTTTTCTAAAAACCTTTCAAACAGCAGAAGTAAGACTAATAGCCCTGTACTTGCCTGGCTAACTGGTATTCTCCAGTCATGAATTTGGTATGTTTATTAAACCCTGAATTTTATAAATTTGTTAAGAATCATTGCTATCTATCTTTTTCTTTAGGCGCAATGAGGTTTCCCAGGGGAATGACAATAACTTAGGGCAATTCAGCTAAGGAGTGTAACAACTGTTTATAGCTCCTATCATTTCATTAGGTGCTTTTCTGCTGCAGTGACAAAGCTAGTGGCACTGTGAATTGTTCATTTTGATCCCTAGATCTGAAAAAAAAAATCCAGAGAGTGTCCATTTTAAAAAATGCTGCTTCTGTATTTTAAGAATCTTCGTTTTGTTAATCACAGATTTGGGATTAACCCTTTCTTGCATGCAAGATTTTTGGATATTCTGAATAAGCAAAATTCCTTTAGAAGAGTTTGAAACAAAGAGATTTCTCAGCTGTAATCATTCTATAGTTGGCATACCCTGCTGTATTACTGTCTGTGTAAGTGATTGACTCACAGAGTATCCTCTTCTATGGAAACAGATAACATTTATACCTATAAACTGGTTATTTCTTCCCCTCTTCCTGTTTTGCTTATTAAGTAACATTCGATTATCCAGCAGCAATTCTCAATGGGTACAAAATCTTAAAGTACAATATATTTTTAAAATAAAAGAGCAGGGAAAAAAAAATAAAGCCTAGGAATGGGTCCAAATCAATTAATTAAAGACTACCTTGGATACAAGGCCCATGGAAATCTGCAGGAAGAATACCACGCAAAGTTTTATCCCAAATTATATATCACAGCCTGTGAAAGCAGGACCTTTGATCTTACGCATACCAGAGGGAATTTCAATGGAGAAAGTCCAGTTAATTTCCAGTTACCCTAAATATGAACAAATGTGCTCAAAGTAACCTAAAATGAGAAGGGGGGGGGGCAGGAAGTCCAGAATGAGTGTATTTGTGTACTTGTTTCAGTGAACTACTCCACATTTTGAAGTCAGAACCTTGCTTCATTGTGAAATGTTGGAAAATATGTTTTTTTTATTGTAAAGCTTTTGTTTCGTCCCTGCTAAGGGGAAATATCATATAATACTTCCCTGTAACGTTCCCCATGATGCAAGGAAGTGCTCTAGGTAAGGAGAAGCAAGGAAGGGTAGGTGATACGTGACTTTTGTATCTGAAAGACATTATTAAGTGAATACCTAGATGTACCTAATTGCTTTCAGAGACATCAGGGCCCTGAGGGCACTAATAGACCCTAATTGCCCTGACCAGCCTCACCTGCAGCCTCTGCTCAAATCACCTCGATTAGCTGCACCTGGGGCCTTTGCATAAATGGCCTTGACCATCTGTCCTTAGAGTCTGCACCTACCTCTTGCTCATGGTTTTGGCATCTCCTGTTCAGTTAATAATAAAACTTTCAAGTCTTCAGAGAAATTAAAAGTCCTTTAAAATATCTCCAATTTCATGTTTAACAAGATTCTTTGTCATTTCTATTCTGTCTTTGTTAGTGAATAAAGTATTTGTGTGTTCATTGTACTTTTATGGTTAAACCTAGAAGTGCTTTCCAAGTTGTTTGCATAGCAGCCTCAGAATCGCACAGAGAATGGGTAAGGTTGGAAGGGACCTCTAGAGATCATCTAGTCCAATCCCCCTGCTCAAGCAGGGTCACCCGGAGCACGTGGCACAGGACTGCATTCAAGCGGGTTTTGAAGATCTCCAGAGAAGGAGACTCCACAACCTCTCTGGGCAGCCTGTTCCAGGGCTCTGTCACGCTCACAGGCAAGAAATTCTTCCTCACGTGGAGATGGAAATTTCTGTGTTTCGACTTGCACCCATTATCCCTTGTTCTGTCCCTGGCCACTACCGAGAAAAGTTTGGCCTCATTCTCCCATCCTCCCTACATACCCTCTCAGGTACTTATATATAGTTCGTATTGTCTCCTTGTTTTGCAACTGAAATGGCTAGGAATATGTGTTTGTGTGTGTGTGTTTTTTTTTTTTTCCTTTCTCTCCTCCCTGCATGCAGCTCAATCAAGGATCCCAACCTCCCTGCCCATGTGGAGGGACATGCTATGTATCATGTGAGTATGACTTGTTCAGTCTTTCTTCACCTTGCTAGTGGAAAAGGGAAGGCAGGGAAGCAACAGGATGCCTGTAAGATGTCTCAGAGCTGCTGCTGAGGATGATAAAGGTGGTTTGTAGATGAAAAAGATGATAAAGGGATGACTGTGTGTAAAAAGTAAGCATCTATTGACAAGTGTCCTGGATCTAGGGAGCAACAAGGGCATGATGCTGGTCAGAGTCCAGGACACCAGGCTTCAGAGAAGTATAAGGGATTGCAGAGAGATACAGAATTTTTTGTTTGTTTGTTTGTTTGTTTGTTTTTAAGTGGATCAGATATTGGAAAACTGGAAGCTGCTGTAGTAACACTGTATCAGAGCTAATTTTGTATTGATCAGAGGGAAGCATGTACAAACTTTGTATATAGAAGGAGAAGAAGAAAACGCTTTTGTACTCTGAAACCAATGTATTTAACTAAGTTATATTTTTTAAAAATAGCCTTAAATTAAATTATTTAATTTTTCATGATTTATTTCGCCTTATGTAGTTGTTGAGTGTATATTTAATGTTTTTCTCATTAAAATATATATGAATTTAAATTTATTTTGTGAATAAATAATTCTATTTAGCAGTGTTTCAACTTCCCTTTTCAGGTCCTATCTCTCTCTGAAATACTCTGGCCGTGTGTACTTTTCCTTGTTCTGGCTGCAATCCGCTTCCAGGAGCCTCCAAAATACAAGGAAAACTGTACGTTGTGTTTCATCTGTACTCTTCTAGTTCAATCCAATCTGCCTAAAGTAGTTAAGAGCTATTAGAAAAATAAATGAGAAGGTGCCATTTCAATGTAGTAAAGGCAATGGAAAAAAAAATATAGTGAGATTCAATTTTGTCTAGCTGCAGATCTGAGCTAGTCATGTTGGACTGGGGTGAAATGGAGAAATACCTAGTTTTAGGTGCAATTAATTGGGCCAATTTTAGACTGTGGAATAAGGCAAATTATTTGGCTTCTAATTATGTTTATTTTTCTATGCATATTGACAACACATTGAATTTAGATGACTGACTGAGAGGCAAGTGATTATGCAGTAGATCTGCTCGGTGAGATAGGGTGAATCTTGCCCCTGCCTGCTTGCTTGGTATTTGGCATGAACACATGGCAAAAAATAAATGCTCTTATTTCCACTTACAATTCAAAAACTTGTAATGGCTTTCTCCACACTGTAAAGTTCATCTTGCTCTTATCTTGTCCAATGTCACATTTATTCAGAAAGCAAGGACTCATGATATCATGGTCTATTCCATTTTTTTGCCTAATAATCACTTCTGATATATTCATGTTTTATGTTATTACAGGGAATAGCACCTTTGGTTAATTTCCCTAATTCAGCAACTTCACAGAAAAAAAAAAATGAAGTGCAGTACTAACAAAAGCCAGGAACAGAAGAGATGATAGAAGGGAGGTGGGGGACAGGGAGACAGAATCTGGATATATAACAGCACGAGAGCTTAAACTAAGCTCTTATTTAAGGCAAGCACGTATGTTTTGGGCCTCTTATTATGTGTGAATTAATTATACTTGCTGTACAAGAGCCGCTGGATTTATTATCTTGAAGAAGGCTCGGCATGTTTATAAAACAGTGATAGTACATTCTTGGTTTCAGTGCTTAGTTTTCTGTATAAATAGTTTGCTTTAGGAATGACTTGACTATTTCTCAACCTTCCTCTTTTTACCTAAATAATGAAAAGCTTGTCGATTTGGTACCTTTGCACATATACAAAGGGGAACACATTAATTTGTGTCACTTTGAAGTCACTGGAGGACAAACTAGCTTTAGCAACCAAGTTGATTGGAACAAATGGAGAGCCCTAGAAGGAGGCAATCTGTTAGAGTCTGAGTCCAATAGGGGTGTGTTTGGTTCAGTGGGAAGGGATCCAGTGCACGCCCTTGGGGAGCTTTTTCACAAAATGACTTTGTGTGCTAAATAAGGATAAAAATAATCTGCAATTGACACTAGTCATTCACAATTTGAAATTAATGATCTTATACATCAGGCACAGTTTCTAAGAACTGAAGGCTGGCTTGTCTAATGGTGCAACTTCTAATGGTACATGCCTCTTAAATATTGATATCTGAATCTAAATAAAAGTAGGATTTGTAGCTATTATTAAATGTAGCAATTTCTCCATTTCTGCATCTTTCCATTCTGAATATTCAGCAAAAATTCTAGCCCAGTTGTTAGTTTGGTGAACTATATTATGTTTATTTAAACTTGCCTTAATATTTTTCTTATTTCCCTCCGTTAATTTTGAAGTAATAGTTATAAAAAGGTCAGCTGAAGGAAGAGTGGGAATGGTCTTTAAACTATTTCTCAGTTTTGACTGTTTAAAACAAAGAAATGAGCTGAAATGGGAGCCCTGTGACTAGTAATTATATTGTAATTACAGAGGTACTAGTAAGGAATAGTGTGTGGTCTTTTTTTTCCTTCTTGTTTTGAGGTTTAGGTTCTCATAAAACATGGAAAAGTTATTGTTTATCCAAACAATATGCAAACTGAAAGACCACTGAATATCAGTTTCTTCATCTTGTGAACACCTGGGAGAAAAGATGAGAAATACTGCTTTTGTGAAGATTTCCAAATTCTAATCTAGGTCACTAGACACGTTGGATAGACAGGCTAGCAAGCATGTGGTGATGTTGCAATGTTGCAAGTGTTGTAAAAATTGTCTTTCCAAAGACTGCTCTCTAATGCCCCACTGTTGTCATAGTCCAACACAATAGTTCTTCACTCTCTGTGCTGAATTAGTTGTTCCTAAATGAAGCACTTGCTCACTCACAGGTGAGCACTTGCTCACACTTGCTATGAGAAGGGCACACAGCATCCTTGTACAGGCTTTATAACTGGCAACGTAACTGGCTTTCATTCTACTACTGCTTGTTTTTAGGCTATTTGGAAGCTCGGGATTTGCCAAGTCGAGGCCTTTATCCTTTCGTGCGGACTCTTTTCTGTAATGTTGGTTCAAGATGTAGGAACACCAGTTATACAACACAGCAAAACAGACATTTACGGTAAGATATATAAACTTGACACAACTCAGCTATCCAGTGTGTGTCTTCCAATGTACAAGCGAAGTTGTTGTTGTCTGCTTGTCCAGGACAATGTTTACTACTACAGACTTAGAGTTTCTCTGCAACTGCCACATTCATAAAGATGCGTGATCTTGCCTCTGAATCTTTGCCTTGTTTTTCAATGTGTTAATGAGTACAAGAAGATCTTGAAGTTGCTTTTAAAGGGGCTAATATTTTAGCATTCTCAAAACCTTTTTATTTTCTTATAAAATAATAGTTTTTGTTCATACTGTTACATTTAAGTAGCATCTAGATCATTGCTTTAATAAGGTATAAACTATATTGAAATTCTGCATGATTACTTACACTGCTTTGAATAAGCTCCTAGAATTACATCTTGTCTCAAAAGGAAAGCAGAAAAAAAATTTCCTGGAGGCAGTCTTAGACCTACTTAAGAATCAAGGGACATTCAATATATTTCATTTTCTTTTTCCAATTGTAAATGAAATGCATTTATATATGTATATTTATAAACTCTACATAATGGCCACGTAACATTAGTAGCATATAGCCGAGGTCAGAAAAAAGGTTAAAAAGGTAACACAAAGTTCATTGTGAGGTCAGTCTTTTCCAGCAGGTCTATCAGTATAAATTAGATCAACCTAAGGGATGTTTTGACTTATGCTGGCTGCCAATAGCCTTAGGGATCCAAATTGTCAGCTTGAGATCGACCAAAACATAACTGAATCCTAGTAATGCTACTGTGTTGGCTGGAAAGAAGAGTTGACATAGGAACCGTAATAGCAATTATCTTTCCTCTGTGGATCTACTTTGGACCATAGCCAGTTATTTATATCACTTTATATGCATTAACAATGTTGCCTTTATTAAGGATAAAGGCACTTTATCCTCACACTTAATTATTTGTTTTCACAGTCTGTACCATGCTATCAGTTTGATATATATGTTATCTTCTACTCTTGGCAAAAGTTATGCTATGGCTTCTGTAGATCCTCCACCATAAAAATGTTAGACCATTCAAATAGCCAAAACTGTACAATTACAGCAGAATGCCATTTTTTTGGAAATGAGTTTTGCACATCACATCAAGATGCAAGTTTTCTGTGCACAAAGCTGTTAGGAAAACCACCGTCTGACTGAAAGACAAGAAGACTTTCAAAGAAATGCCATGATAAGCGTAGCTATATTGAAGTACTGATAGCTACTGATAATCCATAGCTACTGATGAGTATGCACCTGCACATCTGCTTGTAATTTAAGAAAGTTTTTGCTTGTTTGTTTCCCTCTAGTTTTGAAGGGTTATAATACAATGTGCAGTGTGGTGGGAAAGATCCTGCCTCTCTACAAAAGACATGCAGTAAACTGTTGTCCTGTGCATGTGTTGGTGTCATGCCTCCAAGCTGTTCTGTGACAGGCTGAGTGGGAGCCAGCACAGCTGTGGCTTTGCTATTTTAGAGAGAAATTTTTAATGCAGGGCCAGGGGCCAGGTTGAATGAAGAGTTTGCTGTGAAGCTTACGAAAAATCTCCAGTCTAGATGGCATTATGCATCATAGTTCAGATCTTAGACGAGTTCTGAAAGAATCATCTTGAATACCTGGCTAATTTGTCCAGAATTTGTTTCTGGGTCGTAGCTTTAGGAAATGCCAATAGCTTTTATATGGTCAAGCGATACAGAGACTTGTTCTTTTGTGGTGTTTTGTCATGGTCACAACTGATATGAATGTTTCAATAATTGTATAAAGAAAGAAGTGTACTCAAACTATTTCTGGAAAGGCATGAAGAGTTACTATTGAAATTATATAGATGAAGAAAGAAGTGTACTCAAACTATTGCTGGAAAGGCATGATTAAGGGAAGAGTTACTATTGAAATTATATAGATAGCGTCTCTTAAAACCATGGTTCTAATCACGTGTCCTCTTTTACAAGCTACTGGAATCTTCATTTTGTCATTTTATGGTTTTGCTCTCTATTGGTTCTAGCAACTGCTGCTGTTGATTTCTTTTAAACAAGAATCCTCATGTCCCTCTCCTGCCCCCTAAAGCAGAAGAGCCCTGTTGTACCACACTTGATATTTTGACTGGCAAACTGTCTGAAAATCACTTGTTTTAACTGTTCTTATAGCTGGTTTTGAAGTCTAGCTTCACATCTCTGCTGGCACAACAGTGATAGTTTTTTATAGCTCCACCTGTAGATTCACTATTAAGTTGCTTCCTTGCTTTCCTCAAAGCTCTCCCTAGAGCTCAAAGCTGCTGCACTCCAAGGCTTACCAGGTGTTTTCTTCAGTGTTTCTAGTCTTTCTACCCCTTTGCTCCTCCTTCGAACCGCTCACGGGAGGGGGAGCAGTTGGAGTCCCCTACCCCCTAACCTGGAGGCAGAGGACACGGGGTGACCTTCCGGCCTTCGCCCGTCCACGCAGCCATTGCCATAGACATGCGCATAGAGCATTGGGCAGCAGGACTTCAAGGAGCTGCTCGTTTTCTGAGCAGTTTTACAGGTAGTAAAGGGAAGCTTTACAGGTAGTGAGGGAACATTTTGAAAGTAAAGGATGAGATAGCTGTGGGGCTGGCGGTGTAGACTTAAGTTCTCACTTAAAAAGCTGCTGCTAAATAGGTTCTTTATCACCCGCTGATTGCTCCATAATCTCCTCCTGCCTCAAAACCCACCCTGTGAAAACTGGAGTACTTTAATTGCTTTCTGAATAGATTTGTGTGCTGATTTTTCTTGAGTTGAGTGCTGGCCACTTGTTCTTAAAAAGTTGATGGCTAGAATGTCCTCTGCAATTAGGTCCTGGGCTTCTTTTTCAACTGTCATTACTGATAAACCTTAGATTTCAGTCTCTGTGTTATTGGTATTGGAATTTATGTGGTATTTTAAAATACAACAGCTAAAGTGCACCTATTAATCGCTCTAAAAGCCTCCTCCTGAACAACAGAAGTCTGTCTTAAAACACTATTTAAAGGAAAAAAATGTGGGGAAATTGTGCTGCCTTTAATTCACCCAAATGTTACATTACTGGAAAGATTTATGTAAATCTTGCCGTCTGTCAGCCTAGCTGGGATCCAAATAACTGTGCTGAAGTAGTTGAGAACTTTGTTTTAAGATTAAATTTTCTCTTCATCCCTTGCTCCAAAGTTGCGGCATATGAATAAGAATCGGGGAGGAGGCAAAACATGCTGCTTCATGTGTCTATAATTTTGTAGCTTTTTTTTGAGAGAGAGTATTAGACCTATCTGATCCAGTGAAAAAGCAAATCTGTACATGACTTGTGACTCTGATTTTATCTTCCAGCTTAATCCATCATTAGGAGGAAAACACTTCAGTAATGTGGACTCCAAAAGATTAAAAAAAGGCCTAGATCGAATAAGAAATCAAAGTTAAATAGTTTTTACAATGTTATTTTCTCTTAATTTTAGCCTCTAAGGGAATAAAACTATTTTCAAGTTTTTTAAAAAGATGCAGTGTCCAAGTAAATGGTAGATGGTCTCAAACTGTTTTTCTTGACCCAATGATTCTTTGGGACCTTAGTAATTTTTCAATTTATGGAAGAACTAAGAGACTACAGCAATGTTATACATAGTCTTCTAACAGTAATGTTATGTTTTTGCTTTGCCTTTTAGATTTATATTTTGCTTCATTTGTTGTTCCTAGAGTCTCAACTCAATTCTTTCCTCCTCCCATTTTTGTGTATGACTTTTAGAACTCTGCCTTGTTTTTGGCTTATTGTATGTTGCTGGTTGTTTTCTCCTCCACACTCCCTCACCCAACCCGCCCCGGCTCTGTCCCTGTTCACCAAAGTGGCCCTAGGGTTTGTGTGACTTTGAGCTGAGTTACCGCTGCTACTGAAAGCTTCTATGATCTATGTCAAAAAAAAAAAGTTTGTGGTTTGAAAATTGTACTTAGAGCATGAGAACTCTTGATGAGAACTGTGAAGAAGCACAACTCATCTTGCTGAGCTGCATTGCTTTTGAGGCGCTGTTTGTGGGATTTATTGTGGTGAGGGGTAGTTAATTAAGGTCATGGTAGTGTTGTCAGCAATTAGCTTGAAGAAATCAAACAGGGTAAATCAACTAGGGATAAGGCTGGAGGGTTTTTTTTTTTTTGCACTTATGTACACATTTTTTGAATCTTGTCTCATCAGATTTGGGAACTGTAACAAAAAATGTATATACGTCTGACAAAAAAGGAATGGAGTTCTTTTAAATTGAGATCATAAAACAACTAATTATGCATTCAAAAAAAAAGTGTTCTTGCTGCACAGAGTTTCATCATAAGATAACCTAGACTTTCTATAAGGCAAAATATAATTCAGTTGCAGAGTAACATATTAGAGATGACTATTCCATTGTTTTTGATGCCTTGGTGTAGCCTAAGTAATATTGTTTCTTGGAGAAACATAAGCAATTCTGATTTCACTTTGAGGTAAGCACTGAATTATTGTTAGAGACAACATAATGTTATGAATTTAGTTGTAACTTTATGAATTAAAATCAGGGAAGAGCTAGTAGCAATATTACTTGAGTTACTGAATGTACTTAAACCTTATACAAAAAAAAAAACAAGTAAAACCATATACAAACTGTATAGATTTTTTTTTTCCAACAACAAAGATTTGCTATGTCTTTATCTGTTTCCAAGGGAACAAAGTGTCTATAAACCCAGGATGAGTCGTGTGTTTACTTATGCTATGCTAGTTTAATGTGGGAGTCAACATAAAGCAAAAGTACTTAACCACAGATGTTGTTCTCCTATCTTTCAAATAGTAGTGGATCTTAAGGGGCATGTTCCTGGGAATGGGCATACAGTGTATGTGCTGCTTTTTTATTAAGATGGCGGAGTTAGTAATGTAGTTTTTTTGCTCTTCAATAACCTAACTGAAGCACCAGCTTTCTTCAGGACCTAGAGAGAGGAACTTATCCATATTCTCTGTGCTGACATTGAGTGTATTTCCTGTTCTGGCTAACAGTTGTGTTGTATGTTGCCTTTCTTTAGATACAGTAGGGAAACTGGAACTTTATGGTGTTCAAGGCATGAAAGATCCATCTGCTGGATTCATGATAGACCTGGGAAAGACTTAAATATGTTCAGATATGGTAAAGACTTCTTGGATTGTGTCCTCCTTTGGCTGCTGCCAGAATAGGGTTATTTGGTATAGGTGAACTTCTCCAGCACATCAGTTCTCACTGTCCTTCTCCCTAAGATTTTACAACTCAGTAGTACATTTCACATCTGATGAACTGAATAAAATAAGAATTCGATAAATGCATCCTAGTTTATAGAAGAGGAGACAGAAGGAAAAAAACAAAAGGCCTGAAAGTGCTGCTGTGAGGTGATGCATATCTTTGAGCTATTTGTTTTCATGTCTTAATTCTTTTTTTCCTCTTTCTTTTGTGAAAAGTACTTCTGGCTTTCAAGGTGGTGAGAGGAGCTATATAGGACCTGATCTTGCTTTCATGAAAGACATACAAGAGCTTGCAAAAGGGTTTATTGAGACCACAGAGAAAGCCAAGGCTTTGGAAAAACTATGGGAAGAAGACTCAAGGTTTTCAGGTAAACTATGATCTTTCAGATGAATTCCTTTGTCAGATAGTGAAAACCACTGAACTTGGGAATAATTATCGTAAAAATCCTGTCCTCTCACCCCCTTGCAATTTTACCTAATCTAGGAAAAATGCGTTGTTATGTTCTGTGGCCATCATGAAATTCCCAATGAAAGTCACCTTTCACAAATGGTTTCTTTGTTGGCTAAATCAGTGCTCAGTCTAATGTGCATTCAAATGTAACGGTCAAGATTTAGGAAGAAGGGTATGTTCTAGGGAATGACCTAGATTTCCCCCTTGTTGGAGTCTATGCTGTATTAAGAGTAAAGAGATGATAGAAAGCCACACCAGCTGATAACACCTGGTGACTATAGGCAAACAAATCAGTCTTTGTGTGGGAAGAGTGAAATAGAAGTACTGAGGTTTTCCCTCTGTCCCCCTGCATGCTGAGCAACTTCGTAGCAGGTGGACAGGCCTTGGGGACCCTCTCCTACTTGTCTTTCTGGCTGAGGGTTTAAGCAGATCTGGGCTTTGGTAAATCTGGCAGCTTCACGCTTTGCTGTCTGAGCCTGCTACGTTCTGGAAGTTGTGGTGATGATAATTCTCTTACTGATGAGTCAGTGATAAACCATTTCTTTAAAACAGTTTATTTGATAATAATGAAAACAATGGAAAGCACAGAAAATTAATGGGTCACTAGCTTTCTAGAGGTCTTACAAGCCTGATATGTCTGTTCTGTACTACTTGCTGTTGCTTATAAAATGAATTTTTCTGAAGTTAATGATGCCTCTCTGTAAAGGAAAAATGTTTTGATTTTTACAGGGCTCCATAACAGCACCACTTTTCTCACTGTAAGTATTTTTACAGTTTATTTCTAAATTGCAGTTCTGGATTTTGAGGCAGCTTTATTATAATGGTTAGAAATATGTATTCTGTCAAGTTTTAGTAAAGTATCTTTTCAAAAAAGTACCCTTTTCAAGGGAAAAACATTGGAAATATGATTAAAAAAAAAACCTGTTAAATTACTGATTTTAAAATAGTCTAGGCTGTTAGTTGCTTTAAAAAATGCTGAAAGGCTATTTATTAGGTTTATGAAAGTGCATCTGCCAGAGCTTGAATAGCCATATGAAATCATATTATAAAATATCTTACAAGTTGCTTTTACCTTAATGTGTGCTTAATATTAAAAATCGAAAATATGGGGATGCTATTTGGAGGCGATTACTTAATAAATCACAAAACTGAATTCTAAATATGACAAGCAAATTCAACTGGGCGTGACAGAAGGCAGATTCACAAATACAGCATGATTTTTTTCCAGAATATCTCTGACTGTATATGTGGGTTAGCTCTTTGTGAAATCCTGATAGATCAGTCTTTCACTCTCTCAATTACTTGGTAATCTTTGCAGGAAAGAAAAAGGCAACCGAATGGGCACATTAATTTGTCACTGTTGCTGTCACTTCTGTACCTTTCGCAAATCACTGGCTTCACTTTAAAAATACTTACAATAGATTTTCTACATAGGTGGGTGATGGCAACTGATACTTCATGAAACCCAGATTTCTGATTATAATTTTGAATTGGATAACATTTTAGTAGCATCAAAACTTTACATTGCTCATGTGAAATTTGATTGAGAAGACTTGTATCAATATGAAATTTCCTTTCTGGAATGGAATATAAAATAAAAACAATTGTGTTTATCGGCATGAAAGTGTTGAAAGTGGACTATCAGTTACAGAACATTTACACACAAGCCTCTTTTGTTGTATAAGCCATGCTCTTGTTGCTGAATATTATCCAGAAAAGTCCTACAGAAATATTCAATTAGAGAAATAAGGCTTGTTCAATAAAGTTAAGCTAAATCCTGTATTTTGTGTATTTTGTGATGGTGTAGTCCTATAATACATCTTTTTTTACCTCAGGCAATTCCTCTTTAAAGAAGTCCCATCAATTAATCTTTGTTTTTTTACTTACTATTTTTATTTCCCCAGGAAGAAAATGTAAGGAAGATGGGATGTCCCTGTCAGAATCCTAGTCTCTATTACCCACACTTAAAATCTGATTGGAGGGCTAAATACTTCTATGTTGGTTCTTAAAGGCAACTCTTCTTTAGAAAGTACAGCATGTCTTGTTATGCTTCTGATCATAAAGTGATAGCTTAGTGTTTCTTCCAGCTCTGTAACAGGCAGCTGCTGCTGTTGTGTGTGGTTTTATTTTCCTTCCCCTTTGAAGAATTGTCATGTTTTAAATATTTCCCTTACATAAAGGTGAATTTGAATGAAGCAGAGGAAATGATTTCCAGAATAGAAAATCTGTATAAGCAACCTCACTTTTGGGACCTTCTCCATTCACTCCCTCGGCTTAAATTGAGTAGCTTCTACACGAAAGATGCATTAGATGTGATAGCACAGTTTCTCAAGGGCATTGAAAAGTAAGTATGAGTACTTGCTGAATTTAAGGTGCTCTTTTATTGAAATCCATGATGTCCTTACAGCCTATTTAATAACAGAAACCTTCGTATCACTATAGGGATGGTGAGATTTTTCTTCTCTTGATTGTGTGCTACTTTCATAGAGATGTGGTAGGAGTTAAAGCCATTTCAGTTTTTCTGGAAATGTGTCTCTTATCTCTCTCCAGCTTAGTAGAGATTTCCTAGAAGTATGAGAAATATTTCATATTAGCAATGGCTCAAATGATCCCTATCTTATCATCAAGGTATCTTATAAGATAGCTTTAAGCTATCATGTACTTTGGGATTCCTCAGAAGACATGTAAGGAAATATTGATTTGGATTTTACATAGCTTAATGCATTTAGCTCTTCTTTTACATGAAGAAAATGAAGTCTTACTGTCAAAATAGCTTTGGTTATTGCCTAGAAGTAGAGCAAACAGTAAAAAGAAAAAAAAAAATGGTGGTGGGGATTGTAGTCTGAGTGTGAAAGGAGCTTTCTGCCTCAGGTAAAGGACAGCTGGATTCAGAGGAAGACATAGGATATCTATGGGAATTTTCAGGTGAAAGTCAGAAATATTTGCCAGCACTGTTAGGTAATAGATACAGCAGTAAACTAACAGGTGAGGCTGGAGTAGCCAGCTGAGTTTGCTGCTTTTGTAAGGCTGTGTGAAAATGTTGCAGTTTGAAAGCCGTAGTGGTGGTGGTGGTGGGAGGAAAGGAGATATCAAATCAGTATCGGATTCACAAACAGTCTGTGGACCATACGTCCGATCGCCTTCTAGGAGCGAATCGAGTTCCCAAATAGAGTAATCACCTATAAGCTCGACTCTGGCAGTATTGGATTCACGAACAGCCTGTCAACTGTAGGTCCGATCGCCTCCCCCCAAACAAGTAGCTGAGTTCACAAACATTATGAATTATTCAAATGCAACATTTACAAAGCAGGTTTCGGATGTCAGTACAGGAAATTCTCTACTAGAGCGTGGGGTTTTAGCTAGCTCTGATGTACAAATGTGCAATCATCACTCACCCCAGAAGATGGGAGAGGGCTCTCAGTCTCGAGTCTCCTCAGGCGGCATCCTGACGCAAGGGGAGGAAAGGGGGGATCAGCGCATCAACTGATCCAGAATTTATGTGAAAAAGTTTCTCGCTTTCATTTAAAGGTACCGTTAATTGAAAATCTAGAGCGCATGCTCAGTGAGGGGTGGTCGTACCTCGGAGGTGGGTAACTTTTGGGATGGAGGTGTGGTTTTCACATTATGAGCAAAGTTCAAGCAAAGTTCATCTGAAAGGAGTGATTTGACACCTTTGCTGGCTCAGCACCGGACATGTTATCGTATATCTCCCATTAGACAGCCACTGTGCGGCTTAGCAGCAGCCCAGCACAGGGAGCGCAACGGAGTTTGGCCGCAGAGTCTTCACCCCGCTCCATCCTCCATTACTCCCCTTTGCAGCTGTGAGGAGGGCAGATTGTGTTGCCCAGGGAACTGTGGAGGAGCTGAGTCCGTGTGCACTAGCCATCCTGGAAGTGGCAACTGTCTATCACCCCAAGCGAGCCTGGTAATTCCAAAACTGTGGTTAGGCCCTAGTTTTCCTCTTGGTTCCTGCTTTCAAACAATTCTTCAACAAACACTTCTTCCACAGGCTGGGCATGAGCTTCAGCAGCTCACCCTGCACTAATCCTGTGGGGTGGCAGGGTCCCAGGCACTGAGTGGGAAATGTCTGGGCTGAGTCTGTTGCTGCTTAGCATCTCACTCTTTTTCACATTTGAAGTGATATGAAGGATCTTTTGTTTGTGCTGTGTGAATTGTTCCAGCCTCTATTTCCTTCATGCCCTAGTAGCTTGTAACCTTATTCCAGTCTCTTTTATGACTCATTAATGTTCAAAGCTGTATTAGCCCTGTGAGGTGCTTAAACCTCAAAAGCAAAATTGCTTCTGAAACACAGAATTTATGAGATAAGACAGGACCTTGATCAGTGTTTCTTAGTGTTTTTCTTCAGCAGCAACCAACACATAGTAATTTTTGGCTGATCTGCTCGATCATTAATCTGTTATAATCTTAACAATCATTTCTTTCCTGGCCTATAGCATGGACTGAGTGAGATGGGCCAAAGTCCTTGGCCAGCTGAGGCAGATGGAGACACTCAAGGGCATCTATGCACAGGGAGCCCAGCACATGCCTGTGGAGTTGACGTGGATGTCTGCAGTTTTCCTTGTGACTTGTTGGATGGTTTGCACAAGGGCGGTTCCCTAAGAAATATAAGGCAAATGACCAAAAATGAGTAACACGCTAATCTATTTATAATATTTTGGTCTTCAATGGCAGAATTTGTCATCAGTTGTCCAATTTTAGGAAACAAGCCAGAACAAATGTCTGTCTCTTGACTGGCTCTGTACTTTTAACATGATTCTAGAAGCTATAGTTAGGTAAACTTTGTCAGCAGAAAGTATTCTGAATGTGTGATTCCTCCAGCTTCCTAGGCTGTGCCATCTTTGCTGTGACTTTCAAAGATACATAGCAGACTATAGCCTACTGTGAGGGGGGGAGAAAAAGGCTACAAAATGCAAAGCAAACCTAATAATTAAACAGCAAACAAACGAAACCCACACAAAACAACAACAAAAAACCCTATTTGCTTTGTGTGTGTTTTTTCATGTCCCCTCTTTATGGGGTGCCCTGTCTACTCTTGGGTGAGATGCTTCAACCTCCCTTCTCCACAATTTATTTCACAGTTGTTGGAAATAATTTTTAAGACAATTGACAATGCCTTCTAATCAAATTAGAGTGTTATTTGCATAAGAGCAAAGGAGTAAACTATAGGAAATAAATTTGCAGGAAACTTCTAAAATTATCTACAGATACATTAACAAGGAACTTTGCTCCCCTAGATGAGATGAGCAAAACTGAGATTTGCAAGAAATTCAGATATCTTTTTTATCGGTGTTTTATATAATGTGTTTTGTGTGTGTGTTCTGCTGCTGTACTTTTTTTCTCTCCTGCAGATTGGAGGATAAAATAAGCATTCTGTATCCATCTCATCTTGCTCAGAGATGACTGGGAGAATCCTGATGCTCTTCATTTTTTTTTTTTTTTTGCTTGTGAATGTTGATTTCTTTAATCAAAATTGGATGAAACTATAAATGTAAAACCTCAACTTGCATTTTACCATAAAAATGTAATTTGGCAAAACTCTATTTTTTAACACTCTGTATTTTCATATGTAGTCACTTGAGCTTCATCTTTCTCAAATCCCTTTCAGTTCTTCTAAGACTATGCAGATCTTCTGTTTGTTTCTTTTTTAACTTTTTTTTTTTTAAACTTTCAGTACTTTTGCTCCCTTGGAAGATTTAGCTGGCATGCCTTTGGGACAGAGTTTCTATGAAATAGTGAAGAGAGTACTGAATTTAACGGCTGTGTTGGTGCACTTTTTGCAGGACAGGGACTTGGAAGGTAAGGAGTTTGCTTCTAATTTTCTTTTAAGTGTGATAGGAACTCTTTTTGAGCATGATGGCAATAGCTGTCTGAGCTCCAGCTAACTCGATAATCTAAAAGGTTTAAGAATTGAAATGTGTTGCTGTAGTGCTTACCTGTTTCTCTACTGGTCTGCTTTTGTGTCTGAATAACTAAATCAGACGATAGCAGTGTTTTAATAGAACAGCATTGTAATGGTTTAATACATCACATTTACAAGGATCTCTCAGCAGTGAGTTTGGGATTTTTCTTTGTAGTGATTTAGGCTGGCCCTTACATTTGAGAGAATTATCTCTCGTGTTGGTATGTGTGGTGGTATCCTGTGGCTTTTGTGCTTTGACCTTCTTAAGTTGCCAAAAATTCTATCTTCAGCTGTAGGGCTACTTTTATCCCCATCTGCTGCTTGAGTTTGGGAGATAATTCAACTGAAGAATGTAGGCTGCAGCCAAGACAGACCTTTGAGATAAGGGCAGGAACAAATCTTATTGCAAACTGTAGATGAACAGTTGGATTCTAGGTGCAACCATCTGCTCTTGAAAAGCCACCCCAACAATTGTATATGGTCCAAGTCCCACTTCAGACATCAAAAAATGGGACTGAAGTGATGCAAAGGTGATATGCTGGAGCCCTGCATGAAAAGTGTGCTCTAATTCCCAGGGTCTGGGCTCACATCATTATTTGTTCTTGTGTCTTAAATATTAATTGATAATGAAAACAGAAATGAATAACAGGGTTCTTGTAGGTGGTTTTTAGGTCAGTCTGACATTTTACATTTGTGGCTGCCCTCAAAGCTGTAACAAATGTGCAGACTGATCTGTGTAGAACTGAGTCTAGCTAGTCCTTTGAGAAGTCAACCCAAAGCAGACAGGATATTTTGGCAGCTTTCACAAGTTTGAGGAAGTACTGGCTTTGTGAATGAAAAGGTAGACTAGAAACTCCCAGTAAGTACTGGCAAGGTGGGGAAGCTGCAGCCTCTTTGGATATATTCTGTTTGTGAAAAGTTGCGTTTGTGCTGCCATTTATGTTAGATTAAAAGGCCAAAATAACTGTAGATGTGCAATGTAATTGTATAAAACAAATGTTCAGATACTTGGATGGCTTAGGCTTAAATATAGAGAATGCACAAAGTTTTTAAGCTAGGAGTAGTGCTTTTGTAGTGCAATTAATAGGTGCAGTGACCATGAAGTAGGCAGTTCTGATGATGTTATATGTCTAGTTCTTACTAAGGTGATAACTTATTTCCAGCCTGGATGTGCATGTTTGCATGTCTACATGTTGAAGTTAACACACAATTTAGAATGGCATGCTGATGAGTCTGCTGGCAGTTGCTACACAGGGGCGTCTCATCATGCTGACATCTGGCTGAATGCCATCACATTAGCTCGCCTCACCATACTACTAGTGAGATCATGAGTTTTATTATCTTGAAACCGGTGTTTAGGTGCATGCACTTAAGGTGAAAGCTTAGTGCTTGGATCCCATGAAATACAAATAAAGAACAGGAACAAAAAGAAAGGATAAAATACATGTTTTTCTTCTAGGTTTCCAATACAATATTTCTCTGGGAGATGTGTTGTGGGATCCACATGTTGTCGGAGTGGAACTTAAATCCAGGTTTGATTTAGATGATCTCCACATTGAGAAGCTTCTAAGTTATGCCTCTCAGCTACCTGAGGTAAGACATTTAAATTGCAGTTCTACTTTCACCTTCTTGTTTTTATTGGGAACTGGAAGGGTTCCTTCATGCCTTAAGCTATAATATCCTATGAGGGCAAACAAAAGCAGTATTGCATTTGCTGTAACATAAGCAACTTGAGTGAATGTTGCCAGCCTTGCTTTGAAAACTAAACTCCGTCTTTGATCAGCAAGCATTTGTGCTGTAATTCATGATTAGCTAATGGGAGAATATAATTAATCACTTGAAATCATCTATAAATGAACAATGGTATTTTTCATGTTGGGAAACAAATCATGCTATTTAATAATAATCATGTTAGCAGGTTAAGTTGTCCCTCTAAATTATGTCCCTTTGCATAAGTTGAAGATACAATTAGAAGGACTGCCTTTGTTAGTTGGTCCTTTCAGTATATATTTGTGTCTTGACAAGTCACCCATTTTGAATTAAATAGGTTGCAAAAATTAAAAGTACAGGTATATTAAAAAAAAATCTGACTTTTTTGAGGGGAGTGGGGAGCATAAATGATAGGATGCAAAGTAATGAAGCAGCTACAAGTCTGCTAAATAGGCCAGGTTTGTTTATTTTTAGGTTCAGCTGCGTATTCTGCACATGAAGATGCTTATAGACTTTTTTTTTTCCTTGCATTAATGAGTTTATGCCTCCCTGGAGACAGTAGTGAAAGGCAAACATTGCTGCTATATGAGACTGAGTATGACAAAGTACTGAGTAATGAACTCAGGAGAGGAGATTGACTTTTTGGTCTAACAAGTTTTAAAAGTAATTTCAGCATTTGAAGCTACCTGAACTCATTTAGCACTTTTTCATGTCTTAGAGATTTACTGAGTGCCTAAAACTCAGGCAAAAAAAAAAAAAAAAAAAAAGTGTGACCCAATTCAGTTAATTTAATCATTTGTGATTTGACTCTCAGAATGTGAAGTTCCTGAAATGATATGGGTTCTCAGTAACAAAAACTACTTTCTCTGGACACAAAAGAATCTTTGCTAAAGAAAAATTATTGTAAAATAAATCCCACTAAGACCTCCAGCCAGCTTATATTTATTAGACATTGCTATCAACACTGCATGCTTCAGGTATCGTATTCTGCTTGGCAAACACTTCAAATATAGTTGCTGCTTGTCTTCAAGGGGAAGAAAATAATGTCTCTAAATTAAACCTTGTGTAATGAATTTGAGTAGGTTTTCTATCCTCTGACATGACTGGAACCTGGCAATTGGTAGCACTGGAGTTCTAAGAAGCACTTTATTTCATTGGGTAGATGGAATTCAGTGGGGTTCACATTTATATTTGAAAACAGACACGTGCTCAGGTGTTTTGTCAAGCTGTTACAGTTCACTATTTACCCATATACTGCAGTAAGGAGATCTGAATTTCTTTACTTTTATCATTAGCTAAAAAAGCATAAGTTATTCTGATCTCCCACCTTTCTTTCTCCATTTTCCTCACTCCCACCACACAGAAATCAGTACTGCCAAAATAGGGAGCTTCTTGGGTAGTGAGCTCTATCTTAGGTACTGAGACAGTGCGACGTTGTATTTGCTGTTTGTCCTTACCATTCAGATAACTTTTTAAAACATGTTAAAATATGGAAGAAGTGAAGGCAAGGTCCAATTATGTTTCTTGTTTGGGCATTTTAATTAAACTTGGCTCTTACATCAAGAGTCCTTCCTTTTAGCGTGCAGTCTGAAGATGAATGTACTTGAGTGATGATGAGCCAATGAGGCTATTCAAATTTTGAAGAAAATCTCTCTCCAGTGAGCTTTTTTCCTCTTCCTTCATGCAAGAATGGACTGCGTGATTGTCTGGGTTGACCAGCAGAATACTTGAAGCATCTCTTGAAATTCTACTGAAGTCCACAGTTTGTTTTTTAAATAGCCCGTGCTTGCATTCATCAGAAGTGTTTTCTCTTTGCCAGGTATAGTCTGGAGTCATAATTCAGAGGCTGTCATTATAAAAATAGTTTTGAGATATGTAAGCGGGTGTATTTTGAACAGTCTTGTAATGAAATTATCTCTGACCAAAGTGATTAACTGAATTGATACTTGCTTGGTAGGTGTGGCTCACTCTAATGCCAGGCAAGTCGCTTGTTAGTTGCTTGTAGATGACGTTAATAACTCCATGTTGTACGCTTGTGTTGGAGCTCTCAAGACTCTCAAATAATGTGAAAGGGAATAGGGAAGCCTGGGCAGTGTCTGCCTTGAGCACTGTTGGATAGATGCTTGAATTTTATGTCCAATTCCTCAGCTGTTTTTCTGTCAAAACATCTATAAAAGTTCCAAGCAATTTTCTGGCACAGTTGAAGAGCTAGAAGAGCAAGTACCTCAAAGACTTCATTAAGGAGAACTAAGATGTACTAAATGATTTTTTTTTGGTAAGTTTTACCAAATGTAGTTATCTTTAATTAAACCTGTATCATGGGAAAAAAAAATAACAGTAAGTTCAGTGGTCAGCTTGTGAGAAAAAAAATCTGGCCTTTTGGCCTATTTGTGTATAGGCAGAAAACCTATACACGTTTAGTTGAAAGCCAGTCTGCTGTATGTTCATATCAATGTTTGATTTGATTCATGCTCTCATGGGGCACCTGCATGGAGAATAATTAGAAACAGGTATTGCAGACTGTTTTGCAATAAATGGGCTTTGTTCTCACTAAAACAGGCTATGTGGTGTTCCTTTAAACCAGACAAGTAAGTTGATAGGAGAGAGGATATTTGGTAGCTCTCTGACGTGCTCATCTTATTTGTTGTGTCTGTCAGATTCCCACAGAAGAGACACTAGAGCAGTTTGTGTGCTCTGCCCTGTCCAGTGTGCCAGGGAATGAATCAAATGGAAAGCATAATGATGAAGACTGCACTTCTGCATGGCACGAGGCCAAACTCTATCTTGTCAACACTGTCAGCAAGCTGAAACTCTATTCACAGGTATATTTCAATAAGTCAAAAGATCAAATCCATATTTCTTGCAGATAGACTGTCAACAGCGACTTAATGAAAAGGTCCGAGTGTGCTACTAAATACTACTGTCATGATACTTTTCAATTTGCATCAAACTAATCCTTTTTAGTAAGGAATCATTACAATGGGAGAATAATCTATTGCCCTGTGTCTGCTTAATCAGATTTTCTCATTAACTCAAATGAACGATTGAAACCTAATAGGGACTCTCGAATAAAGTCTACTGCACTGTAGAGGCCTGAAAGAAGGAGGCCTATTTATTGCCTCTCTTGAATTTTGGGCAAAACTATAAGCCGTTTACAGGTCTGTAGTGATACAACATATAATTTATATATTTTCTTATCCACCCTCTACTTTCTCTTGTGATAGTGGCTAAAGGATGTTGAGATGGATAACAGTAAATCTCAGTGTAGCATCTTAAAATTCTGGTCTAGCAAACAGTATCTGGTCTGTATTAGGATCACCCACATGTAGCTGTACAGAGATGAGGATAAGCCAATTCAGGTATTCCTTAAAATACTTATCTAGCTGCCTTAATGATGGTGTCTTTTCACTGAAGCTTGTTTTCTTTGCATGAAAAGAGAAATACTAGTGGTATATAAGCCTGCTTAGGGGACGTTTGAAATACGATGCAAAGTATGTACAGCTGAGCTTATCAGGTATTTCCTCAGAAATATAGACTTTAGTTTTTGTCTTGATAAAGGTTTATTAGAGTTATCTGATGACTTGAAATCATTATTTAATGTGGCTATCAAAATTAGTTCTTATTCTTGTTACAGGAAAATGCAGTAATCTTGGGTATGGCAGGTGCTAATATCCTTAGAGCACTTGAAGTGGCCATTCTAAGTTGCTGGCCCCTGCGAATCCCCTTGATGAACAGGACATCTCTCCTAGTGCAAAATCTGTTACAACTACTTGGCACTTAGAAAGCATAATGGTGGAGGAAAGGAGCTCAGACAGCAGTTTTGGTCATATACTTGATGGGAGCATGTTGTCTCCTCCATTTTTTGGCCTGTCTCATGGGACCCAAGTGCGTTGACACTTCTGCCTTCCAAGTTCTGGCTTCCAAGTTCTGGTGTTGGCAGTGGAAGCAGAAGCCTTGGAAGGGGGAAGGCAAGACTGAGTAGTTGCCCCAGGAGGCCTGTCTTTGGCTGCAGTCTTAGGCCAACTTTTTACCATCCCTGGGTTTCTAGACAGAGCACAGCATTGCACAGGGGTTAAGTCTGCTGCATGATGAAACATTATATTGCTGACTTGCAGGTCAGTCCAAACTGTTGCAGGTTAACTTGTAGGGCACCAGTTGCTTCAGAGACTGGTATACTTCTATGTATTGGCTAAACAAGTAATCTTTGTTTCTCTACAGATCTTTTCTGTTTTCCTTTCCATCTGCTAGGTATATCATCAATGGTTCACCAGTAGCCAGTCTCAAAAGCTTCTTTCTGAACTTGAAGGAATGATAGCTGACTTACTGTCCCAGTTTTTAGATGAAAGTGAAGCCTGGAAAATTGTTTCAGGGATAAGTACCCTGATGCTGCAATGGAATGAGAAATCAGAAGCCCATTTCTCAGAAGGGCATACTGCATCTCATGATCTGTAAGTTATGCTTACCTTATTTCTGCAACTTATGTTATGCAGTTTCTCTCAACTCGAATATTTGCTTTCGTGTGCCATTTATTTATTTCTGTCTGGTTTTAAATTATGGAGTAGGATGAGTTTTATTTTTATTCTGTAATTTGAAACTTCATGTTCTGTCAAATAGCTGTTTTAATACATGTACATCCTGGAAAAGATGTTTAAATATGTGTTTCAGAGTAAATGAGCCTATTTAGAAGTTCGGCAGAGAATCTGGGCACATCATTAGGACTCATAGGAATTGGCAATTGTGTACAGGTGTATTTTGATGAACTTGGGTCTGAATTTTCTACCATGTCCTGTAAAGTCTAATTCTTATAAGTAGCTGCTGTGAATCAGTAATGCTTCTCATACATGTGCTATAGAATCAGTCTATTTCTGCACAGCAAGTCCTATGCACCTAAAATATATGGGACTTTTGAGTTATATACATATTAATTTGTGCAGATCCTGAGCAGGAGCCTACTATGGAGATCAGAATTACATACATATATATATATATATATAGGATTAAAATGTATGTAGTTTCTAACTGTGTTTGGGGCACAATAACATAATAAAGCACACCATCATAAGTCTCACAAGCGATGAGGAAGAAACATAATTTCTGTCAACCTGACCCTTTGTGTGTTTTATTTGTAGTGCTTTTGTGCTTTTCTTGGAGTTTATCAATTAGTGGAAATGTAAGGAGTTTGTAGGAAAGCAGGGCTGTAAGTTCTGCATCTAGGCAGAATGATTTGATCTTTTGTTGAATATGCCTAAATCTTTTTGGTGCAGTAGAACTGTCCATTTGACAGTTGGTTACTCATCTAGAAGTTAGTTTTGTTACAACTTTGGAGACTTGTTTGATTCCTGTCTTAATGCATGACATTTTACTTAATGACAATTGTTCTCAGGTGTTCGGGCAAAAATAAAGTGGCTAGGACCCCATTTTTGGGAGGATACTGAATGTGACTTACGTTTGTAGATATATAAAAGTAGTAAGCACTCCTGCTTTTAAGTGTACTCCTTACACTTACTAAGCACTCGTAAGTGCTGATATTACTCTCACAGAAGTCCTGGGTAAAGCAGAGGCCAGAACCGTTTTCTTCTAAACTCTGATTAGGATGACTAACATCGCTTGAGAGAGATGGTGGCCTCTATTTGGGTGTAGCTCATAGTAGCCCTTGTTGTTCACATCTAAAAACCGTCCTTTGTTGTAGGAGGTATAATGCATTCTTTATAAACCAGCTTCTGAGGACAATCCTGAAAGATAATACTGTACAGCACATCCCTGCTTTAACTGTTCCTCAAAAAAGCAAAAAAATCTTCCCAAAGATGGTGAATGTATATGGGATTCTAATCAGATGTGCAAGTCCTGGGCTTAAACTTTCTCCTGTTGAGGATCATCTGCTTTTTTTTATCTCCCTCTCCCAGATTGAGTCTTCAGAGACTTTTCATTTGATAGAAAATGAACTCCTCTTTTTTTTTTTAAGAATTTCTCCATCTTTTGTTTCTAAAGGAGGAAAGGAGTGTATTGTAAATAATTTTTCCATGAAAATAAATTGTAATTCTCTTCTGGGAGATCGGACAATGAATGCTTAGTCAGAAGAATCTTACTTTGCTTTGTTTGTATCTTTCCAAATTTTTTGTCAAATCCATCATCTATTCTCAACAGAGAGAATGTGGTCAAATTGCTTAAAAACTTAGTAATATGTTTTGGAATTGTGTCTTAAAAAAAAAAAAAAAGAAAAGTCGCTTACATCACTGTTGCCATAACAAACTGCAAGGTGGATGATATTGTAACTGCACCTCCAAGAGTAGCATAGCTCTTTCACAACCTCACCATCTTGTTGACAGCACACTGTGTGTTCCTTTCCTGTGATCTGCTTCTCTTTTTGTCTGCAGAATCCGGTATCTGGCGAGAATGCAGGCTGTGCTTCGGGATGTGCCTCAGTGGCCCCTTGCAAAGAGATTGCTTCTCATAGATGGAGCTATAAGGAATGTAGTAATACACAACTTACACTTCACTGAAGGTAAGCTGCATGGTTGGTACTTGTCACTAATACTCAGCTGACTGCCACAGGATAATGAAGGCAATGATAATATCTACGTTCAGAGCAGTTGTCATCTGTCAGATTTGTTTCCTAGTAGCTGTTGATTAAAGATCTAATTCAAGGAAAGGTCTGTTTAAAAACAAACAAACAAAAATCCCAAGCAAACAAAGAAACCTCTAACTTTTGCAATGCCAGAGAGGTGTTTATGAAGCCATCAGTCATGTGTTTTTACACTTGGAAGTAGCTTAATATCTTGTCAGTCATTGCAGAGAAGCAAAACACATAGCTGGGCATAAGGATACTTGTATTCCTTTAAGTAGGACCTTGACTAAGGGCTGTGGGAGTGCAGGAATGGGATGCTTATCCCTCCAGGGGTTACACTTCTTGGCCCAAAGCTAGGCTAGTGGTAAAGGAAGCAGAAGTTGCCTTCCTCAGAAGAACCAGAGAGGGAAACAGAGAAGGCCACTGGTACTGTTTGTGTTTGCATGAGTACCTACTGTATCTGCCTGTGCTGATTGTGTAGTAGCTGTGTGTAAATGCATGTATGTATTGTAATTGTGTGCATGTCTGCCTGTTGGGAATACATCCTTAGCCACAGTGTTGGCTGGACCTGGGGACAAGGTTTGCCCCCATCATGCTGTGGATTCAACAGCTTCCTAATATTGCATTCCAGAAATGTTACTAAGTTAAGGTTGTCCCTTATTTCAGAAGGATGAGACTACAGTTTAGATTTGGTACTTAGAGAATTAGGCAGACTTTCTGCATTTCAAAATAATTCCTTTGCCTCTCAGAAGTGCAGAGTGCAACCACGCATGTCTTTTGTGCAACAGGAGAGTGTTATCTGGGCACGAAGGTCATCTAAGCCAAACTGGAACATCTGTATGCCTCTGTTTTTCAACCATATAATGTGCAGTTTTCTTTTCCCGAATGGTGTCTCCTGCTGTACGCAACCTTCCCAAATTATTCTGTAAATTAAATATATTCTTTATTGTTGTACAGAAGTTTTACATAATCTGGAAAGACTGATTCCTTTTGCCCCAAGAGATGGATCTGTTCATCCAGACATTGAAAAGCTCTTTGTTGATTTAAAAAAGGTATGTTATTTCTTGGTTGTATATTAATGTACACATAGCTGCAGAGGTCTAACTTGTTTTTTTTTGTTTAAAAAAAATTGGTAATTTTTTTTACTTGGCACTCAGCAGCATCTGGGTCCAATTGTGTGCGTTTCTCCCCCTGTCTTATGACATTTCATTGTGAAAATTAATATGGAGCGTGAGTTGAATCTGTTCCTTCGTACTGATTTCATTTTCAAAGTGATAATATATTGATTAAATTCTAGATGCTGTTGAGCAATGCTTCCTATATATGCAACGATGTGCTTACAGTGTTTGAGAAGGTCCTTAGGCTTCCACAGGGCTCAGATGGCATCAATGTTTTAGAAATGTATATGTGCCCAAGCAATGACTCGGATGTGACTCTCAAGTTAAGCAACCAGCTCCAGTCTCTAAAGGAATCTGTAAGTTTATCTGGAAACTTTTTTTTTTTTTTTTCCACATTTAAAACTTGCTTTGCCTTTCTTTTGGCTGTTAAAAAATAAAGTAGCATGAACTGTAACTTTCTGCTTAGTGTTTACTATTAATTTATAATTGGTAACTAGTTATATAATCTGATTAAGATGCCCATTGGGGAAAGGCACGTGTGGACTTGCTGAGACTTTTGAGTGGCTGTGACATTTTAGATAATCTATCAAACTGTGGCTTAAAGAAAAGCTTGAATGTTTCAGGGTGTGATGGTTTAGTCTATTTTGTGTTGGATATCAGTAATGTTGTCTTCTTCATACCTAAGAAGCAAGGCCTAATTGTCAGGAATTTTCCTTTTACTGGTTACAAACTATTGCTCTCTTTATTGAAAAAGGTCCTACTTCTGCAGAAAGTTATTCAAGGTCAGCAGAGCATTTCGGATTCAGTAACGGATGATGTTTTGGGATGGAAAGAAATAGAAGAGCAGCTAGCTGAAAGTTATGCTCATTACTGTGGAATTTATCACCTATGGAGCACAGAGATGCCATCTGAGGAGGATGTCTGTTTCGACTCTTGTCAGGAACACCTGCTCTTTTCACTGTAGGTATTTCGTATATGTTTTTATCGATAAACATCCTGACTGTCTTCTTGCAACTAGCAGCTTGGAGTGCAGTAGTTAGAGCTGTTAACTTAATAGCAAAAAGGGTCAAACCACTGATTTTTACTTTTTGATTACAGCCTAATCTCATTAACTTTCTAGAAAGCACAAGTGGGAAGATAAAGGGAGGTGTTTTCCTTTTTTTTTAGGCAAAGAGGAAATTATCTAGGATTATTAAAGCTAATTTCTTCTTCATGTCTTCTCACACCCAAGCATTCTGTTGCTTCCTCAGTTTGCTTCTTGTGCTTACTGTACTGTGCTACTTGGAAAGCTTGGAAACTTGTATGTGAGACTCCTGGGAGATGCACACGCACAGACCCTCCAAAAAAAAAATCTCCCCAAAGAAAAACGTTAGTGTACTAGCAGGAGTATTGCAACCTCAAACTGCTTTCTGACTTGGAAGAACATGATGTCATGTGAAGTTTTCATCATGTGAAATTATAACTTGATTATGATCTGCAATGATACAGCTTGAAATTAGTAGAATTGCTTTATATGAACTTGGCATATGTTAGAAGAAACCTCTGTATCAAGTATGTGCTTTAACATAAGTTCTTTTATCCTCACTCTGGAAGGTAAAATAGGAAGTTGCATTTATACTGAATGTCCTAGATCAAACTTGTCTACCTTCTACATGTATTTCATGTGTTCTAGGTATGTTTATACACATTACTTAGGCACATGAGAAACTTCACAGAAATATTCGCATTAATAGTATTAAAGCAGTAATACTATTAAGGCTAAGCATTCAAGAGTCTGACTGAAGTTCCATGACCTGCACCAGCAGGAGGGATCAAACCCATTGATTGTAATAACATCTTAGACACATCTTAGAAAACTTTTTCCTGCCCCTTTTTGATTCAAGAAAAGCATTGATTGCTTTCCCTCTCTCCATGTGTTTCTAAATTAGTATGAAGTTGTCAGGAAGAGTTAAGTCTCATTTATGAACATTAAAAGCATTGATAGACCTGAAAGCATCCTGGGAGAAGAGGCTTCCCTTTAAATAACATTCCAGAGCAAACAAAAGCAGTGTAAACTCAGTGCAAAATGCTTAAGGTCAAGAAAAACATTTTGCCATAACTGTCTTCCATTTAAAAATATTATTTTTTTGAACTGAAACATCTTGTCAGTGTTTAAAGGCTTTTGAGCACTTTCTGTTAGCACACCTCTGTTAACTAGAAAGTTAACTTTATTTCTATATTAGTGATGTGATAGCTTTGCTGATTTATCTAGCAAAGGGATTGCCCGTTAGCCTGCTTGTCTTGGTCTTTTGCTGCCAGTAGTGTTGTTATACATAAAATAATAGATTTTAGTTAGAGACTTGCAAAGAAATTAGAGGTACTCATAAGGATATTTAAAAGAGTCACTGTCTTAATCATGATAACTTTCTTTTGTTTTCTATCATTTCAGAATTAATAATACCCTTGAAATTGGATTTGCCTCTGAGGGACACTCATACTGGAAGGATTTAACAACTTTTGCTGGGTGGATGTGTGAAGTAGCTCAGTATGTGAATAAGGAAGTCGGCTCCCCAGGTGAGTCAGATGTGTGAACCTGCTTGTGTTGTCCTTGGTCTTAGGATTTCCCCTCTGACTAAGTCTTAAGCAGGAAAAAATAGTAACATGTGGAGTCTGATTTCTGTTTTTCCTCTTATTAAGTAATAGCTTTTTTTTTTTTTTTTTTTGGACAAGGTGGAAAATTTTTTTGATTCATCTCTGATGAAAAAAATCTAAATGGTTACCTCTATTTAGAGTCTTTTTACTACTGTGTTGACAGGAGGGCTTTTAAAGTCAGGGTTATAAATAGAGAGGAGACCAGACTGTCTGGTCACGTGGTAGAGATGTTTCTAGACTAGTATCATATTCATGCAAGATCTTTGTATTGATTTACCTGATTCCTCTTGTACTAGGATATCCTAGACCTAGGAGAATAAGCAGCAGATGGGTCAGGACTTCACTACTTCATTAAAGTAGCTTGATGATTAAAAAAAAATAAAGTAATGCTGTTTTTTTCGTTCAGTTCTATAGAAGTCTGCTTACTGATGAAGCATTCAGTACATATTTCTGATTGTTCTGTGGACTCCAGAAGTTCTCCAATTCCTCAGCACAAACCTGGTACTGGGGAATAAGCAGCAGATGGATCAGGACACCTAGGATTCATTTGCTGGTGGAAAACTTTCCAGTAACAGGTTTGTCCTGAAGGAAATGGAAAGCTTTTGAAGTCTGTAGTGGTCTTTTTTATTAGATGTTTGTGGTTATTTAGTTGATATTTTATGTGGTGTAAATGCGTTCTGAAGCAGGGTACAATATGGCTCATCCAAACAGCTCTTTAAAAAAAAAAAAAAAAAAAAAAAAAGGCATCTTCCAACATAACCCATTAAAATCCTTTAAACCTTTAAGAATTTCTCCACTCGGAACAATTCCTAAAAATAAATAAATAAATAAATAAAAGGCAGATTTTTAACAAGGTCTTCAAATATATATACATATATATTTACATTTGTTCTCTACTTTCCTGTTCATAGAGCTCGTAAGAATACTTCATCAGTAAGTAAGCTTCTATGGAACTGAATGGAAAAACAAGCATTATTTTATTCATTTATTTATTTTTTAAATAACAAACTACTTTAGTGAAGTAAACTAATGTGAGATGACTGTATAGGTTTTCTTATCCATTACAGTCCCAGATATCTTTAGTGTGTTAGATAGTAATAGTGATTTTTACAAAGGTATCTTCTCTTTATTGAAATCCCAAAGAAGAGATTAATGATAATTTCTGGGCTGAGGGCAGAACGAGGTGCACTATTATAAAATAAAACTAATACTCTTTTTGCAGTAGTTCTGCAATACATGTATAATTCAGAATATATTTTCTATTTTTCCTTTATCCTCTCAGAATTTTGCTTATACGTAGAGATGGGCCTTCTGTAGATGCGGTCTTTACTGATTCTGTGTCTTATGCCTTCAAATCATTCACTAGTACTAAGATGAAACCCTTTACTAAAAATTGCACCTTTACTACTTTTAAAATACACTTTATGCATTTCTTTCCAACTGCAGAATGTGACTGTAAATCTCTGCTTGCATTCAAGTCAAAGTCTGTAAATTGGGAGTTGATAAAGTTGTTCATAGATGCTTATCAAGACTTTCTTGATTTGTTTCATTATAGTGAAATGTATATATTTTATTCTCTGCAGGTGGTTTTAAAGTATCTCTATGTTCCAGGCAAAAGCTCAGTTTGAATACCATCTTAGGTTGTTTTTCAACATTTCTGCGGAACTTATCAGACTATTCCTCATTTACTTCCTGGACACGGTGAGATTGAACTAATCCATTAAGTGTCCCTTTTTAACTCTTCTCGACCAATCTCTTATCCCACTTCCACTTCAGACTTTTGTGATAGTTGAACAGTTAACCTGCTTTATATTTGTCGAGTTACTAGTGTTTTTCAGGGTTATTGGGGAGAAATATAGTCCTGCAAAGACAGAAAGATATATCTTTCTGGCTGTCATTCAAAAGCATTTAAAAAGATAACGTCACATCTGGTATATGATCAGTAGTAAAGGAAGAGACGGAATCTGGACAATTGCAGTAGAGTTAGAATGGTTCTATTTTTGTTATGCCTTTGAATACCAAAATTATTATCACTTGAACTATTGCAGGTCTGATGGCAATTAATTTGATTGTTATTTAAATGATATTTGGATTTTTCTTGACTTTATTTTAGAGTTTTAGTATTTATATATGTATATGAACTTGTCTGCCTACTACATAACTAACAAAGATCTTGTTTAATATTTCAGATTTTTGACATCTGTCAAAGAGCTTTTGAAGAGAAGAGAAAGCTTAGATTTCGTTTCCACTGGAAATCCATATCTCTCATACCTTGCAGAATTCATAGAAGCAATCACAATGCCGAGATTCTCAGCCCCATCAAATCTCCAGTCTCTTGTGGAAGCCGTCTTGAATAGTACAATTGCATGGATAAGCAGTTTTGCTCAAAGGAAGGAAACTGTCACAGCTTTCTCACCTGCAGTTTCTGAACTCTATGATGAGCTATTAAAACACTTCCGCCCTCTTCAGAGATTCTGGCAGAAAGGGAAGAGTCAAGTGGGAGAAGTAGAAGTATTGGATACCCTGTCTAGAATATTTTTATCCGTACCAGAAAATGAAAAAATCCTTAATAGGAGTATGCATTTCTTCCAAAATATCCCGACTGGTTGGCCAGATTTAAATATTGTTGATATGAGCCATCTAAAACACCTAAGCGAAGACTTCATTAAACATCTCTATGAGGTTGGGTCATTGACTGGAGATCATGGTAATACAACTTTCCGTCCAATTCATGGAGTGAGTAATGCCTCCTCCTCCTCATTCTCAAATGCAAGTTTTCTGTATAAAATGCAAGAGTTAGGAGAAATTGTATCTGACCTCTTCAAAGACACTCAGAAATTAAACAATGGTAGTGTTGCCTCACTTTTTCAGGTCCTCTTCTCTGTTTATCAGAACATTGATCTGCTCTTAAGTATTGAGAGCAATAGTGATCTATTAACATTTTTTTATGGAACCTCAAAAGACATTTTATCTCTTGAGTTATGGTATGATTTTGAAGACAGGGACACAGTTTTTGATCTTCTGTCTGAAACCTTTAATCTACTTTTGAACTTATCTGGGAAGCCTCCCTGTGAGAAGTTATTAATCATTTATAACTTCACAGAGTTTCAGGCCCAGTCTCTTGCACAGAAAGACAGAGAGATGCAAGTTGTCTATGACACTCTGAACAGCCTTAAGACTTTATTAATGGATGAAGAGATCCGAGCAGCTGCCTCTTGTTATTTAGAAGAATTCTTCAGTTTCTCAGTAGAATGTCTGATAAATAATGGATGCATTGATTTTTATCTATCAAACACTACTTCTGTAGAGAATTCAGTAGAGGCTTATGACTTTCTTCTGTTTCCATTGGACAGTGTTTTGTCTAACATAACAAAGCTAGGAGATAAGATAAATTTGCCTTCTGCTTTGCACTGCACTTTTCTATGGCTTCAAACCTGGACAGGGATTTTTGAAGAAGTGTCTGAAATTTTAAGTTTGAATTCAACCTTTTTTGTCACTCTAAGATATGGTTTGGCAAATGTTTCTGAAGGCATTTTAAATACAACGCATTCCGAACTGTGCAATAAGACAACTATGCTTATTGTTGAAGCTGCAACAGCAGTGCATCTGTTAAAAAACCTGGTTGAGGATGGCAATTTAAATGACTGGGAAAATTTTGAAGCTCTCATTAGTAATCTTCAAAGTATACTTAACAATGCAGTTGATGTCACAAGCTTGCTTACGAGTAACAGCTTGGAGAATGTTCTGGATATTATAGGAGATAGGATTACTGAATTACAGGGGTCTGTGTTGAAGGCTGATATTGGAGATTTTTTGATTTCTTGGCTTGATACTTTCATCTCAGGAGGATTTGAGGGAGAGCGTGGAGATGCCAATACATATTCCATTAGAAATTCCCTTTCTACTATTCTCAACCTCTCTAAAAAAGAACTTGGAATTATTCTTACAGAGATAAAAGACACAACAACTTTTTTAAAAAGTATATCTCAAGATAAGTATTTGGGTTGTATCAGTATCTTCCAAAATATTACCAAATTAATTTTGGACAATATTCTGAAAGAGAAGAGTCATTCACAGGTTAATCTTTCTCCTCATCTTAACTCCTTTCTGAACTTGAGTGCAGTAGCTGAAGCAGTAGAATGTGACAAATGGATGCATATCCTTAGTAACTTTAGTGAAAAATACAAGTCACCTTCCCATCTTGAAAGTGCAAAACATGTGCTATTTCTACTGAAATCTCTGGGAAACACTGAGAGAGATGTGAAGCTAAGAAACATGATGGATTTTATTAATTTTGTTTTTAATTTGCTATTCCCTGAATGTTCCTTATCTGCTTCTCATGTTCTTTGTGTAAATATTTATTTCCATATTATAACAAAAACTTTAAAATTTATTCTCCCTGAGTTTTATGGAAAAGGTAATGTTAGGATGACTGACTTTATTTTTACGCTTGTAAATAACTCAGGGGCGCAAATACCAATGCTTGCCAGCAGTTCTATGGGACACTTGAAGTATACATCAAATGAGACACATTTTACTCAGTCAATCCATGGATCTAACAAGAATTCCAGTATACTCCTTCATCCCTTTCATCATCACCATCTTTTCTTAACAGAATTATTGACAGAAATTCAAAATATCTTGAAAAATAAAACTGTTGATATCCAGCAAACTGGCTCTTCTTCTTTGAATACCAAGTTTGAAACTTTCTTGCATCAGAAGAATTTCAATTTGTTGATGCAGTTCTTTCAACGTATGATGAACTACCTTGGCTTAAGATTGCCTCCTAAGTCGCAAAGTGAATACAACACACTTAAGGCACTAATAAAAGCATCAGCTGTGAATGTTGAACTGGTAAGAAAGGCATTCGATACTTTCAAGTCTTCTCTCCATACTGATTTTCCGAGAAGAGATTATGAAGAGTTCCTAACTCTTATAGTGGCTTTGGTGCAAAATCTGGAGCATACAGATCTAGAGTTCTTGATAGGTCAATTCAAACAAGTCCAGCAGAGCCTGGATCGTTTATTTAAAAGTATCAAAGCTTTGTATGTTGAGAGCTTGGCATTAGGAATGTTACCAGACTGGTTGGACACATTTGAGAACAATCTGTGTAACTGGAATCTGACTGTTTTCAAGCAGCTGTCAAAGTTATTGCAACAGCACAAGCTCTTAGATGCAATAGGGATGTTCCCTCTTCTTGATGTCATCAGCCTTACAGAAGGGTTAGCTCATGGAAATGTCACAGAGGCACTAACTAATGTATACACTTTTATACTGACTCAAGAACCAAAAATACCTATACTTACCAAAGAAGAATTATCAAATCAAGTAGAAAGTATCCTAATGTTACAGCAGGCACTGAGTGATATGTTTCAGGAACCTGCAGAGGCCTTCATTTGTATTTCTGCGGTGTTCTGCTGGACTCTCACAACCTCACCGCCTCAGAATGATCCTGCTTTTAAGACTTGTGACTTTGCACACAGCAATTTTTCTCTTGCTTACAATGTAGTCATTAACATAATTAAGCAACTGAAAGTGATTCCTCTGGAGGACAGTTCCTCCTGTACCAAGGAAGACTTTCAGACTGATATCATGCGCAATATGACCTGCTTTTTTCATCACATCAGAGAATGGAATTCTCTTCTACTGAAGTTTTCTGAGCTCCGTCATTTAAATGCCTCAGTCCTCAAAGAGTTGCTAGACTTTTGGAATCAACTGTCTATATCTCTTGTACCTTTGGAGGCCAATACTACAGACTCAGTCACATGCTCACCCACGCTGAAGATGCAGGCCGCTTTACAGCTTGTAGAAGCACTGGATGGTATGACAATGATAGAAATGGAGACAGCCAAAGCTGTTCTTGAGCAGTTGGATGATCTTTATGATATCCTAAATTTGAGTGGAGACAGAAAAATGTCACTTATAAAGACTATTCTTTCAAATTTTAAGAACACAACCAATGAATTGTCTGGATTGCTGGGTACAGAGCCTGTCTTTTCTTTTTTCTCTTTACTTCAGCCTTTAATAGCACTGTCATCTTTTGGAAACGAGACTTATTTGGTGCTTATGGCATTATCAGCTTTAAATGGAAATGAAAATACATCTAATAATTTTGAGGATTTCTGGTTTCACATAGAGTCCAGTATAGAAAACTTGTTAGTGAATTTTAATGTTAGGCATTTACTTACGGTGATAGAGCAAGACTTTCAGATATTAAGGGTAGCTACTGGACAGTCAATGGATCTTGATGTTCCAATACCTTGGCTTAATATGTCATCTGTTGATGCTATGTTAAGAAATTTTGAAGACATTCAAGAGAGTGTGAACACGTTTCTATGTGAGTGTAATGCCAAAAATTACCCTAAAATACTGCATATTCTGATCTTCTTAATGACTAATGAAAAGTCAGCTGATGACCTACTGCTAATTTTTGAAGATATTGTTGACTTTCTGGAATTCTTCCAAAATCAGTCTAAGGAAGATTATATATCTATGTTTTATGATGATCTTAACAGTGCAAACATGAATAATACCCATACTGCTGACTCAGTTTTGCAGAATAGTCTCCTTCATATGATTGCTGACCTTGCTATTACAGAAACAGCTCTGCATTTAAACAATACAGAGCTTCACACAGTGGACTTCTTTGATTTATTTTTTGATGATACACAACATGGAAACTATGGAAAAAACACTAATCCTTTCCAAAACACAGCTCTTGAAAACATGCAAGAGGTCTTGCAAATGATCTTTCCATCTTCTACAGAACATGACAGGAACAGACTTGCCTCCTTGCTAAACTACTTGCATGAGGATATAATGGCAGAAATGAGGTGAGCATTTTCTATGTACCTGTTTTAATCCTGTGTACAGGGACAGCCGTGACAACTGATTTGTGCTTGTGCGTAATTGCACCTTTTACTAGGCAGTTAATTACTGTGTCAAATGTTTACTGGGGAGCAAAACCATATTCCATATCAAATTACATTGTGTGGACCAGATTATTGACATACTTAGTCTCCTTCCTCTAGAATTATTAGAGACCAGATACTTGGGAGTGTTTTAACATAAAATATTTGGTGTTAAAAACCTTGCAGCTCTGAGAACTGAGATCACAGTTAATGGGTGGGATGTCATTTGTAGCGTTAAGAATTAAGGAATTTCTGAGATATTTTTGCCTTTATATATAGTCTAAATGTACCTATATTGTATTCGGAGTGTCTTCTGTTATCATTCAAATTTCATCTAAAGCCCTTTTTGTTTTTCTATGACTGGATTTAGGGGCTTACATCAAGAATTCCCTTAAATTTCATGCAGAATAGTTCCAATATACTTCAAATAGTTCAGATAAAGTCTCAAGACCTTATTTTGAGCTCTTGAAACTAGAAAATAGAACATATAGGTACAAAGAAAAAATATTCCAGTAGTAATGTTTAGCTTCAGTTCATATCCATTGGTTTTGTCCATTATTAAAAAAAAAGAATGTCAGCTTAAAAACTTGGTACTATTGTGTGAATGTATCAAAACAAAACGATACAAACAAACAAGAAAAAGGATTTAACCTTATCATACTTGGTTATACTCAGTAAAGAGGGGTTTTGTGTGCTTTTGTCAAGTGGAAGAGAACATGTATGTATACAATTTTCAACATTAAACATTTGCTCTTTCTTATTGAAATTTAAAATAAAACCGGTATGATCCAATTAGAGGAAGGGATAGGTGAAGCTACTTAAATTTGAGAAATTATTTGACTTTCTGAAAGTGTTTTTCTTGCTTTGAGACCATAAATGATGTTGCTAGAAAAACAGTTTTAATTTCTCAGTGGAGTCATGCTTGCAGTCTTGGATGAGAAGATCAGCTGCACAGATTTTGGGAAGTTTTTACCTATTTGTACAAGAACTAAATAGGAAAAAAATATGTTGGTGTTGTAGGTAACTCTTCCTTTGAACCTGTATCAACACGGAATGAAAATGACTTAACTCAGCTGGTGACTTAAGCACTCAAGGTCACCTTCTAGGAGCTATGGGTATATTAGAATGTTGTTCTGTTTAGAAAATATAGCAAATACAGTTTTCTGAAATTCACTTCTGTCTGATTCCTAAATCAAATATAATCTAGCAACAAAAGAATCTTCGCTTTTGGAAAACCTTTTCTGAGGGATCAGGAAGTAGCAAAACTGCTACACTGGAGTTCATGTATTTAAGTAAATCCAGTGAGTGAATCACGTGAAACAGTTGCTCTAAACCAGCTTTGGAGTCTCATGCCAGTGGAATTCAATTTTTGCTTGCACAGCCTAGATCTGAAACAGTGTACTAAAGTTGATTCATGACTTTAATGTGAGGTGTAGACTTTTAGGATTCATTTTATATAAATATGTTAGACAAATGATCAGGGGCCAGGTTGAGCATCCTGATCTCTTCCCTCAAGTGAGGAGGTACTATGAGCTGTTAGTACTTCGAGCTCTTAGTACGTCTGCAGCCAGGCTAACAGTAGTTATGATTTTGCTTATTTTGCTAAGGTACCTTCTTTGCTGATGACTTGTTATCTTTATGAAAGCTAATTTTTAAATATGTCATATAGAAGTTGCATGTCCTGATTCAGAAATAGTTCACATAAAAGAAATTGGATGTGGGGCTACTGGTTGGTCATGTAACTGTTGATACTGAGATTTTCATATTTTCTTGAAAATTGCAATTGTACATAGTGCAGTTGAAAACTTTCTTCAATACCCTGGTTAGGAAAGTAATTATATTTTATTTATTTTTCCATAGAGCATCTAAGATATGTCAAACTCTTCAGAAACATTTACCCCCTGCTATTGCCCTGCAATTGCAGAAGCTGCAGCTTACCATTCTGAAAGGTCTTAAAATCTTTTCAGGTTGGTTGTCATTGTTGTATTGATGATTTAAGTTGACATGTATGCCAGTATTATAATGTTAATGATTTACTTGGAGGATTCCATTGTTGAACAAATTCAGTTTGATGATAGAAAGCAGAAAGCAAGACAAGTATGCTGGTGCCTGGAAATTAAGGTAACAAAGGCACAGAAAAACAGTTTGCCCTGGGTTGTGCAAGGGGCTTACTTCTGGAGAGGCTGAATTGATTCAAAATCAGTAAAAGGAGGTGGCCTTACAATTTGTCATTTTAGCCAGGTGATATTTTCTTTCCTTTTGTGCTTGCTCTGACATGCCGTGGCTTCTTTCCATCATTTAGTTCACTAACCCAGCCTCTTATAACTGAATATTTTCCTGCTAGGTTACTGAACTGGGGTTAGTCACAGAGGCTTTTTAATGAACCAGAGTTGACATAAGGAGGTAGCATTTTAGCTTGGCAGTAGGGAAGAATTGGGTAAGTGTATAATGGAATTGACACTTCCCTCTTCTGGCCAGGTAATACCAGTGGATTGGCTTGCTGTAACTGAGTAATTTCACCTGCAACTAATGATGTAAATTTGGGTGACTAAAGCTTTTCATCTTGGTTGTATATAGGTTCACAAGATGAGCACTTTGAGAAATGCTGTGTACTGACCTAAAGGAGTGATTTCATACTATGCCTGTTTTGTTTTCTGCTTTTAAAACTTGAATTTCAATAATTCACTTCATACGTTAAACCCAGTTTTGTAGGGAATAATTTCCAAAGAACTCCTCCTCTGTTGTTCTAGAGTAAGGGTTGAATTTGGTCATATTCCAGCTTCATTTTGAAAGAAAACAGATGTCATTATATTCCAGTTCTACATCTCCTGTGACTATTGTTTCCAGAGAGTAAAATAGTAACATTGAAATCAGAATGAAAGATACTGAAAATATGTACTTAGGAACTGGGATCTATTAGTAAACTCAATCATCTATGTATTGGGAGGACTGAGACTGGGGTACTGAATTTTTGTAGTCTTCATTTCAATTCTCTGGTCAAAGGGATATTTCATAATGCTTGATTTGATTTAACTTTTATGATGGAATGACTGGTTTCATAGATGAAGGGGGAGCAGTGGATGCTGGCTATTTTGACTTAAGTGAGATTTTTGATAGTCATCCTGATAACATTCTCATAGGCAAGCTCAGAAGCCATTGGCTAGATGAGAGGTCAGTAAAATGGATTGAGAACTGAGTGAATGACAGAGCTTGGGGGCTGTGATCAGTGGTGCAAAGTTCAATTGGAGACCTGTGGCTTGAGGTATACCATGGGGTCAATACTGGGTCCAATCTTACTGAACTTCTTCATCAGTGACCTGAAAGAGGGAATATAGTGCACCCTCAGCAAGTTTGCTAATGGTACAAAAATGGAAGTGTGGTGGATGCAGCAAAGGGCTGTGGTGCCAGAGAGACCTTGTCAGGCTAGAGAGGTGGACAGAGAGAAATCTTATGCAATTCAATGAAGACAAATACATGTTCCTGCACCTAGGGAGGAATAACCCCATGCACCAGTACAGCTTAGGGGCTAATCTGCTGGAAAGCAGCTCTGTGAAGAAGGACTTGGAAGTCCTGGTGGACAACAACATGAGCCAGCAGTGTGCCCTTGCGGCCAGGAAGGCCAATGGTGTGTTGGGGTGCATAAAGAAGGGTGTCGTCAGCAGGTTGAGGGAGGTCATTTGCTCCCTCCTACCCATGGGTCAAGCCACATCTGGAATCTAGGCTCTCCAGTATGAGATATGGAGCTACTGGAGTGAGTCCAACATTTGGCTCTGAAGGACTGGACCATCTTTCTCACGAAGAAAGGCTGAGAGAGCCAAACCTGTTGAGCCTAGAGAAGTGAGAACTGGGGAGGGGTGAAGGGATCTTATCAAGATGTATAAATATTTGAAGGGAGGGTATAGTGAAGATGGGGCCAGGCTTTCTTCAGTGATGCCCAGTGAAAGAACAAAATGCAGCTGGCGCAAAGTGCAACAGAGGCAGTCCCACCTGAATTTCTTCACTATAAGGGTAACTGAGTGCTGGATCAGATTGCCCAGTGTAGTCTGCATTCTTGGAGATGCTCAAAAGCTGTGTGGACACGGTGGGAAACATGCTTTAAGTGATCCTGCTTGAGCAGAATGCTTCAAATAGATGATATCTAGATGTCCCTTCCAACCTCAAACCTCTGTGATACAGTCAGCATTGTAGAAACTTAATGAGAAAAGCATAAGATCATTCAACCTAGTTTGTTTTTGCTGAGTTGCATTGTATTTCTTCTGTGAGCAAGATGGATCTTGGATCTTCAAGGTCTGATTGTTTCTGATGTCTTGATGAATGTTTATGGCTTATGCCAGTGGCTTATGGACCAAACAGGGAAATGTACGTGGAGAAAGAATGCAGGAGGGGGTGAAATTCATTCTTGCATAAACCAGAGTTCAACCACCAGACCAAACTTTCCTTGGTCTCCCATGTGCAAACCTGCTACAGATAAGGGAATTAAGCTATCTTTCAGGGACATGAGTACTGTAAGCTTGGGTAAAAACTTCCTGGGTGCGAGATAAGGTGACAAACATCCCCTGCATGGGTTCTCTGTTGAAGGGATTATCTCCCCATTGCTGATTGTCTAGGTAATGCCCTTTGCTTCCCCTCTGCAGCTAAGAGTTTAAAAGCTGTTAATTGCTTGAGTATTAGTAACATCCTGATGTGTCATCAGGGAGAATATCAGGGAAGCTGTTTGAGGAAAAGGTAGAGGTGGTTAATATATACAGCTGCTCAGAGCTCTGTTTCTTGCTCAGAAGAATGAAGTATTCTGCTCTGGTTCTGTTCTGCAGCAGGTGTTGCTGTTATCACTATTGGTCAGGAAAGTGTAGTGAAGAAGAATAAGGGGAGATAAATCAACCTAGTCCTCCTTCCTTTTTGTAGTGGCAAGTAAATTTGGCTGAGATGTTTTCCAGTGCCTTAACACATCAGACTTTGTCTCTTAAAACCTTTATTTTCCTTCTTATTTGGTCAGCTTTTCATCTGATTAAAAGCAAACTAACTGATTAAACCTGGACATTTTTGTTTGTTTTTGTTTTCCTTGCAGAACAATCAGCTGTCATCAGTAACCTTTTCTGTGTTGTTACAAGGTGTAAAGATGGCTTAACAAGTCACTTCCTCCTCTTTGTCTTTGAAGGAATCATTCTGGTTCAAGATCATTATCAGGTTTGGGTTGTTTCCACACTTACAAGTGTTCGTTGTGTTATGTGTTAATATCACATTGAAAGTAATCATAGGAGACCTGTTCTTTTTAATCCAAATGATCAGTACAGTGGCTATTACAAATTTGGGAGTTTTTTTTATGGTTATAGTTCTGACACATTTTATAATGATACCTAGAAGGAATCACCCAAATAAGCATTGGTGAGCTTTGAAAGCTGTATGGAGAGTAACGTGCACATTCAGTGCCAAACTGTTCATATTTTCCTCCTTTAGATCTTCTGATACTGACAAACTCATGAGTCAGAGTACATGTTTTCAAATCTTCTCAGGAAAGGCAATGAAATCAAACTAAAAACAAATAAACCTTTTGATCTGAGTCATTCAAGCTAAAATAGCAGTGGTCACCAATTGAGGTCAGTCTGTGTTTCTTTAGTTCTGTAAGAAGTGAACAATCTTGATCTGGTGAGCATAACACTTGGTATTTAGGCTTGTACAGAGCTAGAAGCAGTTCCCTGGAAATCACATGAACAAAATAAATTTCATTCACATCAGAGTGGCCAAAGAGATGGATTTTTGTACTATCCACCATCCTATGGCATGCTTTTTGCAATAAATGTGATTATTCAAGTGAATATTTAACCGTCATCTGAGAGTTAAAACGTACACAGGCACAGTGAAAGTAGGCCTTTGGGTAGGGGTAGAGCTGAGGAATTAACATCTTTCCCTGGCTGAACCAAAGAATTGAGAGTATATGTATTTGAAATCAACAGAAATTGTTGTTTAGGACAGTTTGGGCAGGAGGGAAAGGGGGAAGAAAAATGGTCAACTTAAATGAAAATCTTGTTTCATGTTGAAATGAAATTTCAAATGATATTTTTAACACTTCCATTCTTTGCTGAATCTCCTTGCAAGGCTAGGTTCAATTTGCATATATTCTTGATCATTTCCAAAGCTCAAGTATCTGAGAATTCTGTTTTCACTATGTTGACAACTCTTTTTTTTTCCTTTAACAGTCACAAATAAATTGACTAAATAAATATCACCTTAACTATATTATCATTTAAAAATATGTATCATGTAATTGCCAATATTTTCATTTCAGTAATTCCAGACATCTTATGTGAATTTAACTGCCTGATTGCTGTCTTTTGCAGGATATCAGAAGAGTGTGGTCTGCTATCAACAAGGGGGATTGTGAGAATATGGCATATATAAATGAGATTTTTTTCAATACTGTGGAGAGCTTCCTCAGAGTTGTACAAAATACCAATGATGGGAGCTGTGAATGTCACCTACTGTTAGAAAATATCCGGAGACACTTGCAAACGTAAAGTTTGTATTTTCAATACACATCATAGTTCTTGTTAGGATTACTTCATCATGTGGGTTCTAAATTGTGTGATTACAGGAAAAATGCTGTGTGTCTAAGTCCCTCCAAGCTTTGTTCATTTACCTGAAATATCAGCAGAAAAAAAAAAGTGCACTGTAGTTATTTAGATATTTAGCAAAATTCTGATTATTTCCAATATCGTTATACTTTTTATGAGCACTTGCAGCAGATGTTGCTGCTCTATGAAGAGAAGCTTTTGAGTCACAACGCTGAAAATGCTAAGTTTTCAATAAGTCAAGTCACTTTTTTTTTTTTTTATCTAAAACCGTTTGCTATGGCATGGTCGTCTCAGCAGCTGCATATCTTTGCAAAATACTCAATACAGGTCACTTAGCAGTTCAAGCAAACACTGGATGGTGCTTATAACCTGACAGGAAGGAGTTGCAAATCACTTCAGATATCTACTATTTCCCTGAGGAAAAACGTAGCAAGTTTTAGAATAAATAAAACTACTACCACATAGTATTTGAGACTTAACTGTCACTTAGAAGTAGCCTTTCTGCTCTACTGGCTTGTCTGTTATGTTGTTTTTATAAGGCTTGAAAGCCCTGTATGAAAGAATTTGAACTTTGGTGCTCGTGTGGACCATTAACTTACACATGGTGTTTTAATAATAAATAATACTCAAACTGTGTAAACTTTTCATTATTCAGATTGGACTCTGATAGCTTCAAACTGCTAGGGGTGTGTATATATCTCTATTAATTTTTTTTTCTGGAAACAAAGTGAGACTTTAGTAGACTTGGTTCTCTCTAAGCTCTTGTTAGGGCACATTACAAACGTAGAGATCTTACCATGAAGTCTTCCTTCATTTAGGTAAGAAATGGATGATGCATGCTCAAATGCAATGCATACATGCAACATGGAAAGCTCTGCAGGGGCTCTTACTGCATGCATGATGTATGTAGAAAGAAGATGATGTGACCGTTTAGCCTAGTTTAACGTCGATTTTGCTATTCCTTAGTCTTTCTATAGATGGTAATGTTGATGACTTAGTTTTGGTAACTTATAAAATTAAAGCTATCATTTCAGGTTGAGTGAAAATTTGGAGACATTTTCAGAAAATCCGGTGCTAGCTCTTCTCAGCAGTTTCAGTCTTTTGAATGGTGAGTCCCTTTTTTTTTTTTTTTCCAGCTCTTAACAACTCTTTTTACTTCTCCCCCACCCCCAACACAGTAACTTGTTCTGATAAGATTAAAAGGTTAAAAGGATATTGCTTGTGGAAATTACTCTCTTAATGCAATATATTCTTGCTCTATGCACATATACATACATACATTTACTAGTCCTCTCCCAGGACAGTGCAATTCATCTTGTCAAGGCCTGTCCTAGTATTCATTGGAAACAAGGGTGAGTGCAAATAGAAAATAACTTAAGTGTTAAAAGCTGCTTTTAGTTTCAGGTGCTCTGTTAATACAGAGGTTTGCTTTATAATTTTATAACCCCTCAGCATAAATCTACAGGAGATGCTGCTGTCTGGGCAACTTGATTAAGCAGCTTGGTAGGATTTTGCAGATTGTTACTGTTACTACTATTTTCCTTCTGTTCAAGATGTGAAAGTCAAAGACTGTGTGAAGAATGCTACTGAACTGGCGCTTAACATTCGTTCTTCTATCAATATTTCTGAAGAAACAATCAAGACTGTTTTGGAAGCTAGTATCTCCCATTCAAAGGTAAAAGATTAAAAAGAGACTAAAGTGCTAAGTGCCAAATTAACACGTTGACCTATTGCCTATTGTGCCAGCTGAAACAAAACAAACTTGTTTGTGTGGAATCTTAAATTTTTACTTGTTGCTTCCATTTTTTTTTTTTTTTTAAGATTTGGGATTTTGTGTGTGGGGTGGGGGGAGGGAAAGGTGAGACATTAAGGGGTCAACTTATAGTACCACTAGTTTTCTAGTTTTCTCCTGATCCAGATGTCATGGCTTCGTTACTTTCAGTAGGCTTACCCAGTAGTGCTGACACCAAATTTTAAAGTCCACTGCCTTGAAACTGGAGAGGTGAGGCTTGAGGCTTCCAGAAGAAATCATTTTGTATTTCCCCCAACTCTGAGCCTCACAGTGCTGAATTATCTGGTTTCTTTTGTTCCTTGAGATGCTACTCACTGTTCTTACGTTTTTACCTTTTTGCTGTGCTTTATCTGCCTGCTGGCCACCCAGCATTATATAAAGTATTGACTGCGTAGGCTTTCTGAGTCAAGGAGAGCGTGTGTTATCATTGTTGCTGTTTTCAGTGATCCCAGTAATCAACGCAGAAATCCTGAGAAGTGCTAGCTTAATTCCGTTCTCAGGTTTGTGTGATGGAAAAGAGTTGGAGAAGCTTTTGATATAAACTAATTATCAGATTGATCAACCAGCCACTGGGTGTCACTGATGCTCCACTAGCAGAAACAGTTCCCAGTTTTGTTCACAAACAGCATGCCCGTTTAAGAAGGCACTTCAAGTTATCATAGCTGCTTACAGATTTGTTAGTTCTGCTGCCCCTTTGGCAGCGTAACTGCCATTGTTATTTGCTTGTTATTTTGATGACAGTAAATAGTAATGGGAGAAGTCATCTAGAAGTGATTCAGTTAAATGGGAATCTTGCATCTTTGCTCTGTTAGAATAATAGCTCTAGCTGACTGACTCTTCAAATGAGTTGCTATTCTTGTTTTTGCAGAAGTCCTGCAAGCAGTTTGGATATACGTGCACATCTTGCCTCTGCATACCTATGCAGAATTTTGGCTGTGCATAAGTGCTCGAATTCTCCAGGCCACTTAGAGTATTAAAATCTATGTCTCTACTTGATTATGCAATATGTGAGAGTACTTTCTTTTATGGTATAATTTTGACCCACTATGTGTATGGTTTGTATAAACTGTCTGATAACCCTGATGATACCTGCAGGCGCCTTTAGTTCTGTGGTTCTATATTGGAACTGATGCTTGCCCCTGCGATAGTAAGACTAAGTTTGAGAGTTCCGGGTGCTTGTTATATTTGTCCTTGATTTCTGCCTCAAGATTATGCTCTGGCCACAGTCATTGCTATGGGATTGTTGTGTGTGTTTATTTCTTTTAGCTGCTCAAAAACATAAAATCTGCGAAGCTTGTAAACATTTGTTACTCAGGATAGCAATATGACATAGTTCTAATGCAGACTTTGCAAGGAAAGTTGAAAGAGGCTAGATCTAGTTGGTAATGTTGAGTGGATTAAAGCTGGATTGAAGTGGAAACATTCATCAGGAATTTCAGTGTCAGAGTCACTCTCACACCCCTGCCCCATACAAAATCCCAGTTGGTATCTTTTTTACACTGATATCAAAATAGTGTTCATGCTTAGTTCGCATGCACTGTATTGTGTATGTATGTATACAAACTTACACATGAAAGTAAATATTTTAATATATAAGAAATGCTTTGGAACTACAAAGGCAAATTAGACTTCGGTTCAGATTTTTTTTCAAATTGATATATTAAAATTTAAATATTGACATTATTTCAAGAAATGCAGTTTGATTCTTTACCAGCTCTGGCTCCTGATATGACTTGTTGAGCATGCCCCAGCAGGTGTTGATACTGGCTACAGATGCCCTCAGTGGAGAGGGCACAGGCAGGTTCTGCTCTCAGGAGTACAATGGCCCTCTGAGCATTGCGCACTGGATCATCAGTAATGAAGCACCAAGCTTCTGCAGGCTCTGGAATAGTCATTTTCCTGGACTTGCTGCAGTTATCCTTCTTTGAGGCATTTCCTGAAAAGAGTAATTAAGTGATATCTGGGATGCTGTGATTTTGCTTTTGGCCTTGGATATTTTCATAGGAACAAAAAAATCTTATACACAAGGAATCCGAACTAAAGAAAAAAAAAGGGGGGGGGCATGTTTTTTTTTTTTTGTTCTTTTTTTGTTCTTTTGTTTGGTTGTTTTAGTAGTCTTCCCCAAGATCTGCTGTAGGCATTTGTTCCATTTTCTACTTTTAGCTAATGTTACTTAAAAGAAGAAATGAATTGAAGTGTCAGATGGCTCGGGGTATGCCAATACATTATAGCATTAAGTGTTGAACTGGTATGACCTCTGAAAAAAGTCTGTTATTCTTGTTTCTTTACAATGACTCACACATTTGCATTTTGATCTTTGTGTTTCTTCAACAAAGGTGTATGTTCTCTTCAATGTCTTCTGTATTGTTAATATGACTATTCATAGTAAAAATATCTATAGAATGAACAAATGACCCGTGCAAGTAAAAAGAAATGATTATAATATACTTCATTTCTTTATAGGCACATTTATATGTTTGTTCTCACTTTATACTCTATCTGATAGAGCTGAATAGGTGTTTCTTTCAAGTCTGTTGATGACGACTATACATTGTCATGCTATTGGGACACAAATTCTCACTTTATTGCCTATAAAGAAGCTGATGTCTTTCAGAAAGAAAGAATATTAACACACATACTTCATGATAGTTTTTTTACAGTGCCCTTGCAGCAGCTTTAGCTGGAAGATGTGACGAAGAAGTATTTGGCCTGCTGCTAACGTTACCTGAAAACAGCAGAAATTCCCTAGTGGTGGAGGAATTATGTTCTTTACCAGCACTGGACTTGTATATCATGTTTGTATTATTTATTCAGAATTTGAACTTACGTCATATCATTTACAAGGTAAGATGGGGTGAGAGGGAAGTGTTCATTACCTGTGACTTCTTTTGAAGGTAATCTAAAGCATTCAAGACAGGTTGATAACTCAATTCAGAAATAGGTATCTTCTATTAAAAGGAAATGCTGGCCATGTGACAAATTCTTTGTCATGTGGAGGAGGATTGTTGAAGGATAGACTTGCGGGATGCTACTGTATTACACCTCTTGTTTCCTTGGGAAAATTATCTCTAAAAAGTCAATTATGAAAGCTTTAGAGAAAACACGGAAAGTTACAGATTTATAAATCTTTAGCAGTGTTTGTAGATTGTGCAGTTGGCCACTTGTTAGTTATTAAGTGTGAAACACTGTGGCATCATTTGAGATAAAACAAGCAAAGAAGCCCCCATTATGAGAAATAGTTGTTTTCTAGCAAAATTTCATACCTCCCACCTCCCCAGAAAAATGTGATTCAAGTGATACAACTTAGTTGGACTTGATTTCTAACTCTGCTTCTTGATACATAAGAGTTGAACACGTCTGAATTATGATTTAAAATGTCTGGCATGCATTCTATGTAATCCAATTAAAAAATTGCCATTATTTACCGAAATAGGAAGCTTGCAGAGGACTGATGATAGTGATGGATAACCTTAGTGTTTATATTATTTTGGAAAGTAATGAGAAGAATACAGTGATAAAGCTATAATGAAGGCAGTAGAGAAGTTTGCAGCAAAACCTGATCATCTGTGCAACTGCATATAATTTATCATCTAATCTGGGGTTTCAGTGAAATGGTATTTTCAATTATAAGAACAAAATAATTAGATGACACTTGTGATAGATAAGAGGGTTTATTCCATTTCTTCCCTGGTGAATGATTGACAAAATGTGAAACGTACAAAAAATAGAAATACATTGGTAGAACAGGAAGGAAGAAAATTTGTTCTGAAGCAATTGTTTCTGGATTATATTCTGGAGGATGCATGTGAGTGGCCACGCATTTTTAAAAAAGAGAAAAATGCCTAGAATATGTAAGATACTGGAGGGAAGAGAAGATTTCTACTTTCTGAAGTCATCTGGCAGCTTGGAGGGAGGATAAAAGAAAAAAGGAGGGTAAAAGTGCTTGTTCTTGGCAGTTCTTCTCTTGAACCCTACCCTATGAATTCCTAGTACAAAATAACAGATGTGAGCTTATCCTAAATTATTATGGAAGTTTTGCTAATTTTTAGAAATGAAAAAAAAAAGTTATTGCAGAGTATTTTTGAATATGTAAAAGCAGGTGAAGTTTGAAAGGAAAATTAGGCACAGACATTATAGTAGGAAGTGCCTTAGTCAAATACAGGTGGAAGTAAAGATAATCAGAGAAAGCAGCTGGAAGCATAAAAGCAAAGATAATCAGAGAAAGCAGCTGGAAGCATATAATGAGATTATATTGTTTTAGTTATCATGCATAGGCAGGTAACTTAATAAATCAGTTTGCATTTATATGACATCTAAATGGCCAATAAATGCAAAAGAGATGAGAAAATTCTTGATGGCAAAAGCAGAAGGATGATTGAACTTTGGTCAAGTAGGAGTAGAGATGCACATAATTATTTTACCTAAAAGGCAGTAAGTATGAAAAATGTGAAGGGAGGAACAGTATCACAGGAAAGTATCCTGTCTAATGTGATTGCTCAAACAGCTGAAGGGATTACTGTATTCAATTTATGAGTTGCATTAAAAATTTTCAGCTTGTTCTGGACATCTAGAGTCTGCTGAAGGGAAAATTCTCATTTATGCTCCTATGCCCCTAATTCCTAGGGGACAGAATTTCACAAATGTCATCAACAGCAAGTTGGGATGAGAGCTGCCTTCCATTCTGTAGGTGTCAAAGTCTCTGTCTTGAAATTCCTGCTTTGTCATAGTCTAGTTGTAACAATTCCAGATATAAGTACCTCAAGGGAGGCGGTGAGGAGGATGGCACTGGCTTCTTTTCAGTGGTGGCCACTGATAGAACTAGAGGAAACGGCCACAAACTGAAGCATCAAAAGTTCCACAGGAACTTAAGGAAAAATTTCTTAACAGTGAGGGTGCCAGAGCACTGGAACAGGCTGCCCAGAGAGGTTGTGGAGTCTCCTTCTCTGGAGATCTTCAAAAGCAGCTTGGATGCAGTCCTGCGCCACGTGCTCTAGGTGACCCTGCGTGTGCAGGGGGGTTGTACCAGATGACCTCTAGAGGTCCTTTCCAACCTTAACTATTTTATGATTCTATGAATTTGAGTGTTTTTATAATTGAATTTTAGTATCATGATTTCTTGCCTCCTTTTCTTTTCCAAGGTTAGGATACCATCCGAGATAGACACCTTACTGAACACGTTATTGGATGTAATTTCTGGTATCAGCTCCCTTCTCGATAAAGCCCAGCGTGTCATGGAAAACCTTCCAGTGTTCCTCCAAGCTGTTAAAAACATTGGTGTACGTGATATTTCCACTTTGCAGCAGGTATGTGTATGAGTAGTAAAAGGCAAGATTAATGCCTATTGTAAGATGTCTTGTTAGGAATATGTGCTAAAATAGTGAGGAACAATGCTAGTGCAAATTGTATCCTGGAAGTTGGGCACTTCGGTGAGACAATGATCTGTTGTCCTTCAAAAGTTGCCTTTCATCTCTTAAGTGCTCCTGTGATCTTGGCACGGTACTAATGAGGTGTTTTCATCATTGTTGTTTTTATAAACTCATGAGAACGCATCCTAAATGAATAGTATGCTACTGGTATACTGGAAGATATTTCTCATGTCTTCCTCAAGGAGGGTTGTAGTATGTGCATCTCTACAGCTGACATAGTGGTGTGAATCTAGTATCAGAGCCTCTCAGAAGGTCCTATTGGTTAAGCTGGTGACGGACAGAAGCCAGCAACAGAGACCTGTCTGGTCACAGCTTCAGTCTTGACTCCGTGGCATCCTGTATTGGCCTGTAATGCAATCTGGATTCAATCCTGAAATTCTTTGCTTTTTGCATCTTGCAACACAATCTCCATTTCTTTAAGTTTTGTTTTGCTGTTTCCTTTTTGTTGAGCAATCGATGCCCCTTTCTGTCACTGAGTGTTCTCTGGAGTATTTAGAAGATCAGTGTCTATTTCTTTCATTCATAAATTATCTGTGCTCTAGTTTCAAGGATGCTTCTGTCTCTACAAACAAATTTTGTTTTCTTTTATGGACTAGCAAAAATGGTTTATTTTTAAATGTATTTTTCTACCCCTTAGATTCTACTGCATTTTGCTGCTTTCCAATACATATCTTATAGTTGTTGATGATTTTGTTTGCTGCTTAACCTCTTTATGGGGGCTGTGCTTGTTCTTGTTAATGAATTTGTGGTAGATATTGTTTAGACACTTCTCTTATAAAATGTTTTCTTCAGTTTCCAGATAAGTCCTTCCATCTGGACATTTTCAAGATAACCAACCAAAAAGTAGTTCATAGACCTAGGAAGATTGCAGAATAAAATATATAGATTTTTAGGATATAAAACAATGTAGACTTTCAGCAGAGATAGGACAGATTCTTTCTTTCATTAAACTCTCACTAAAGAAGTTACTTTGAAGTATGAAATTAAAAAGAAAAGATTTTGTTACTTCATTACTCCTATAAAGAGATTAACTTGTCAGTTATGCATGTGAGTGTTTTGCCTGAAAGGCCAAACGGAAAACTCTTCAAATATCTGAAGTGTGACATTGCATGCTACATAGTATGTATTAAGAAAGCAAAACAAAACCCTGCATTTTCAAACTCAACATTGACGACACAGTGTAACATTTCTATGCAGCATTGAGTTGAATGGATAATGCCCTTGAAAAAACATCGCTGTTTCCTGCTTGTCAGCTTGCTGTTAGAAGTTATCTGCTTATATTTCCCTTACTAATTTTTGTCCTGTTTGTCCATGAGTATATAAGCACAGGCCCGGAAGGGATTGCTGAGTACTGAAAGCTGTCACTCTTGTGAAAAGCAGCCTTGTTGTGTAATCCTTTTGCTGAGTTTATCAAGCTCTGTGCTAAAACTAGTTAGGCTAGTTTTATTGGAAGACTTCTTGGAGTTATAAATGTGTAAATTCCAATTTAACTTTACTCATGACTTAGTACTGTTATTCTCGTATCAGAAATGTCCTGTAGCTTTTTAAACACTTGATTCCCCTGTATATGTGAAGGTGAGTCATAGTCCCTCTTCATTTTGCTAGGCTAGATAAGTTTCTTCTTTTGCTGTTCAGAGTGATTTTGTGGGGGTATTATTATTATTATTTTTTTTCTCCCCTCTTCTGTAAAAGGATCTCACTTGTCTCAGACATGCCAGTGTCATTTTCACATGCCATGTTAAGAGTTAATCTTGAATGCTAGGGACAAAAACTACTTACAGTTTTTGAATAGAAGTGTGACTGGTGGTTCTTGTAACTTTGTTAATTCATGGCTATACCAAATGAAAAAACTTGCTTAATTTTGCATTTGCCTGTTTAATAAATTGCATACATTTGTGTCTATTACTTCATCAAAGAGCAATAATATACCTAGATATCATAACATGCTATTCTAGAAATGGAGCTTTTTGGTTGCTAAATAATGATTTACCCTGGCTATCATTTAGTTTAAATCTTTATTCCTGATAACACCAATCTTAATTTGTCCTGCGATGCCTTCTAGTTTTAGGTTATATTCATATTTTAGTAATTCACTTCTCCTTTTGGGACTAACAATTGCACAACACTGGAGCCAAGATCAGTCTCATGGGAACACTGCTAGTAACTTCTATGTGATCCAGTGTTTTCACCAGACACATTGACATAACTTCTTAAAGTCACTCTTTACCCACCATATAACAATGCTGATTAATATGTTCTAGTACAACATTATCTAGTCATTAGAGGTCACCAGTTTTAGAGAATGCATTTTTTTCAGGAAAAGTGCACACCCTCCCAAATGAATATATTGGACTAGTCTGGAGGGAGGAATCCATAATTTTAAATTCCATTCTTTATCTGTTTTCTGTCTAACTGTTCTCTTTAAAACTTACTGTGGTATCTTGCTGTATTAAACATCATGATTCATTATTCCCTGGGATATTATTGCACTTGCCCTTGAGTATAGATGTCATCTACTTTTCATTCAAGTCTTGCAATCCAAATTTCAGACTTCTGAGAAAGTTTTACTGAATTTGAAGTCTTTTGCCAATGTTCTGTTATTCTGCTAGATTCAGTACAATGAAGACTTTAATTAGCTTGTGTCTGCCCAGAAGGTATATGTGTTCCTCCATACTTGTTTCTGTTTCTTTTAGTCATTCAGTCTCAACCAATTTTGGATTATCTTCAATCTCCCTCTAATTTAGCAGTAAAAATGGCATTTTTCATCTCTTTAGGCAATATTTCTTAATTTGTTTTAATTTTCTTTGCAAGCTGTAACTTGGCTTGACTTGTAGGTTCTTTTCTGAGCAGATGATTTTTCCAATTTGTGTCACTTTTTTTTCCCCCCAATATTCTCCTTAGGAGAAAGATTGGCCATTTGGGTCCAAAGCCATCTTCATTATGAGTTTTTGGTCCTCATTTGAGAATCCAATCCCAGATTGTTTTTTAATCATTAGACTCTTACTTTCAGAGCCTTGCTTGTAATGGTCTTTTTGGAACCAAAAATCTTCATTACAGACCTACTTAGTTTAAACTAGAATACCTGGATCAAAGATAACTTTTTGTGAACTCTGTGAAAATCCTTTCTATACTGTTCTCCCACTTTATCAAAACCAAAGTGGAGATAATGTCACATCTTTGAGTCAGAGGTTACTTAAGTGAAAGACAGTAAGTGGATTCAGCCTGTTGTTGGCAGCTCATTGCATAAATATTCATCATTTGGGTTTCAAGTTTTGATTAGAACCCGAATTAATTAGTCAGCTTCTGCCTTTTAACTGAAATAAAGTCTCACCCTTCTAACGCAAGTAGTCATGAATAGGGATTCAGAAGTGCTTTTATTTGGTGCTATGCATAAATAAAGTTTATTTCCCCCAGTGATGTCCATGCTAACAGATTTTTTTTTTCTTCCCCGAAGAGCTTAGAGGATAGTCATATGAAGTCTAGATGTTATGTATTTACTATGCTGTACACAGAAACTGAGTGGTGCTGCTGGTGGTGCTAAACAGTAAGCTTGAATAACAGTTTCTAATATTCTTCCAGGTTTACTAAAAAGGCATTTGACACTATAGTTAAGGTATTGATCAGGACAAACAGTTTATAATAACAAGACCACTAAACTGTCTGCAATTTATTCACTTAGAAGTTCTATACTGTTTTGAAAATTGCTGATCATAATTTATTTTTGTGTTGTAATTTGTATCAAATAAGTTTGGCTGACATGTCAAAGTTCCATCTGCCAGTCTTGCAGTCTTAAACTGAAATCTGGAAGCCCTAGTTATGTTTTTCTTCCCATGCATCAACAACAGTAATAAACATCAGGCAAGTAAGATGCATCCTGGAATTTTGCAGCAGTTCTTTTTCCAGTCATAGCTGAAAAAGCTATAACTCACCAGCCCCAATATTTAACAAGTTAAACGATATACTTGAAGAATTAGTTTACAGAGTGCATTTGGTTTTTTTATGTTTTTTTATAATTCTCAACAGCTGTTTTCACTGCAAGCATTCATATTGTGCAAAATGATTTTGTTTTTCTGTTGCCTTCATGACTACAGGAGTAATCTACCAGAAGAGAAGCCTTTGGAAAGTGACATGGTAATCCAGGAACCATTGCAGAGGTTCAGTTGTCTTGATATTTCTATTCTTTTTGTGCCTAAACAAGCCATTGATACACAGTGTTTTTCAAACTTTTAAGTAACACACTCTACTTCTCACAGGGTATCCTGGCCTTGGACAGGTGATCAGGAGAACAGAGAACAGCAGAGCAGGCACTCATTCTTGTAGGCAGTTTCAGCAGTGTAATTTTGTTGCTCTCCTTGGATGCCATATTGAGAGAACACCAGGGCTACCCTTGAAGCTATTGAAAGCATCTCTGATTCATCTGTATTTGTTTGTTTTAGCTCTTACAGGGTGGGCAGTTCAGGCGCTCACCTGTTGGATCCCTAGAGTCTGTAATCAAGGCAGTGTGTAAAGAAGAGTCTTCATTTTTCAGCAAGGCGAACATGTTCATTGACATGCCCAGAATCACAGAGCTGTTGGAGGGCAACATGGCAAAAAATGG